AATGTTGTCTTTCTAAAATATTTTTATTAATCATGTGTCTTTGAATTAGCCATTACTAGTAACTTCTTAACATATATAATTATTATAAAGATGACCTGAGGACAAAATAGATAAAAATTGAAGACAAAATAAATTAGAGTCTTATATTTATGACCAAATTAAATATTAAATTAATTCTTATGGTATTGAGGACCGGAGGTAGTATACCATCAACTTTTTTTAATCTTTTCTATCAGAAAATATTTTAATATTAAAACTCCATCCCCTCAAGTGGTTCGTAGAATAATGAACGACGGCCACTGACTTTCATGTATTCAAGTGTTTGACTAATAATAAATTTCGCTAAGCGATATTATAGTAATTATAGAGTATTGCAACTTTACCTACTCAGATATAACATGCCATGTGAGAGAATATAATTAATTGATATATCCAATTAAATAATCAGCCTAATTAATCAACTAATGACTTTCTTATTTACTCATATATGCATGCCTTGTTTATTCATTTAATATCCATTCAGCCTCGAATTCATATTCATTTTTTTCATTCAAAAATTTATAAGTGCTACACACACACGAGTTACGTGTGTATGATTGATTGTTACGTTGGCGGAAAAAAAAGCGTATAAATTATCACCAAAAAAAAAGTATATATGATTGATTAATGAGATTTTATTTATGTTTTTAATGGATTTTATAATTATCACAAAAAAAAACGTATATAAGCATGTTCTACCATAAAGGTTGGCATTGTCTGGCACAATGCATGGATAAATATATATATATATATATATATAATATCACTTAAATGTAGAAAACAATATAAATTGAAGACCTAAAGGTCAAGCACATGCAGGAATCAGCTTAATAATTATTAGATTGATTAGTTATTCAACTTGCTTTACATTTGGGGGGAAAAAGTCATTAAGCAGCCATTTGAAGATCTACCTAATTTGCATATAACCAAATCTAACTTTAAAAATTTTTTCCCTAAAAAATGTAGGAAAAATTTTTTTTAAAAAATCATTGGTGATTATCTTAAACAAAATAACCACACGCACACAAATACGGATGATCTAAATCCGGCTGTAATTAAATAAGTGCATACGTATTTTTACTCTGTTTCTTTTTTAATTTTGAATATAAGAGGGGGAAAGGAAAAGACATAACTAATAACGTACAAATAAAAATAATATCTGGACGCTGATAGAAGACAAAAATAGTTGTAATAAATATTTTTGGTAGTACAAATACGACAAGAAAAAGGACGATTCTAATTTTGATACGTAATTTTGTTTTTGTCTTCCAGTGGTTTTTGTTTGCTTTTAAATTAACACGAGGAAAAAAATGGACGTTCAGATATTTGATTTGAGTCCAGAGTTTTTTAATAATAATGTGACAAATTATACGCCGATAATTCTCTGGGGCAGATTTTTCCACTTTAAATTATTATCGATTACGATTGAAAAATGATTGCAAATGATCTCTTTATTTCAATTATTCTCAACTGCTATAAATCATGAAGAAAAATGGTTATTTGCTGGATATCTTATTTTCTTGATTAATAATACATTTTTAGTTTCAAGGCTTAAATCAGTAACTAACTTAACAAACATATTAAGTTATTCTAATTCGAACCCATCATTATTTTGATGATAGTATTACGTACCTCATATCCCAATTATGAGAGTTCGTTTGTAGTTTACAAACAAAACCTTATAATTAGAATCGGAGGTAGTACTTGATTAACTTAGAATAAAGTTAATTCTTTTGAAGATATGGAGTAGTTTTAATTTGGAGAAAAGTTATACATTTGGCTAGGTACGTAGCAACTACATAATATTAATGATTTGTGTCATCACGAAATTAAAACATCATATGCGTTGCAACTGGATTATTAACTATATTTAGTTAAAAAGAAAGAGAATTATTAAATATCTAATCTAATTTCAAATTTTGATTAATTTAATAATTAAACTTTCAGTCAGAATCAAGTTTTGGCACATTTACGTTGTAATAGCGACCCTATCCATGTAGTAGCCTATATATGACCCTTTTGTGAACTAATGGATGGGATTTACCGAAAGAGTATCTCATTTAGATGCAATATTAAGCTTAATTAGGATGATCTGAATTGATGGCACAGAGATGAATCTAGTTCTTCAACCCTACTGGTTCTATATAGCCAGGGGTTAAGCTTCATTTCATTCTCTCTTGTTTTCTTATATCTCTCCAAACATATAAATTAATTTTACATATTTTCACTTATATGGTATCTCCCTCTCTCTGTATATATTTTTAAAATGTCGTAACAACAACGATAATAATCCAACTTTTTATATATTTGCTGGTCAAAAAAACTTTACATGTGTTTTTGTGTGTGTGTATTTGTTTCAAATGCCGATAAAGTGCATGCAATATGGAGAGGCTAATAGATCTCTTTCTAGTCGTTTATATTTGGACGAAATTAATGGTCTCATATATGAATCACTTGATAGAAAATTAATAAACACTTTTTTCTAAATATTACTCTTATCACAATTTGCTACCGCTATATGTAATTAAGACATTTATACTCCATTCTACCACGCTGAGGAATGCGCGTTAAATTGATAATTTTTTTTCATAGTTATCTTAATTAAAGAAACTGTATTGAAAAAAATATGTTAGTGCAAACTTCTACCTATTTTTTATTTTATTCAATAGGAGTAAAATTGGATAAAGATGATTAATTACCATACAATAACTTGTAGTAAGGACTGAATTTGTTCCTCTACAAGTAATTTATATATAGGACTAGAGTGGCAAGTAATTTGTACAAACTTTTAGGTATAATTAATATTTGTTTCAAAAAAAACTACCTATCAAAATAAGGACTGTACAATTAATATTTTTTTTCAAAAAATTAATTTTTATATAATATTTAGATTTAGGTATCTTTTGGTGTGTTTTTTACAATTAATATTGAGACCTGTATTTGAGAGTGAAAACATAACAAGGACCGTATCAAATACAGAAAAAATAAAAGAAAAAGAAATCCTATTCTGGTCCTTAATATAAGATCTAATTAATTAATTTGAGTAAATTAATGATATTTAAATTAATTAATATGACATGTTTTTTTTAAAATAGCCTAATTATCTTTATTTCTCTCCTATTTAATTATGGTAGACAGAATATTAATAGGACTAAGTTAAAAATTAAATTGATAAATTTATAAAATGAGTTTTATATATTACCTCTGGTCTTAATTATAATAACTTATTTAAAATCTACAAACCAGATTTTATAATTAAAGTAGGAGGTAATATAAAACTAATTAATATTAACTTTTTAGTTAGATTTGAGGTAACAAGGGTAGAAGGGAGGGTATATTAGGAAAATGGGGAATAGTATAAGTGGAGCAGAGCAGAGACGTGTCCTGTTTTCACTCTCATCCTTTGTTTTGCTTAATTTCCATACTGGAGGTGGGACCACCCCATGGATGTCCCCATAAGCCCCATAACCAAACAATCTAATTTCTTTTCAGCTCTCTCATGCCGCCAGTACCGGGCACCCCTCTACCCCTCACACGCCTAGCAGCTACTCCTATATCTATATATATATATATATATATATATATATATATATATGGACATGTTTATGCCAAAAGAATAAAATATATTTTTAATTTTATATACAAATTAGATCTTATATTTAGAGCTTGTGTTAATATTATTGCTGTTAAATTAGCATCAACCCCTTCATTCCTAAGCCAATGGCCTCTCATAACACTAAATTTACATTGCATCAAAATTAAGAGAAGACATACACACAAAAGGATTATCTCATTTCTTTAATATAAGCGATATACTCCTCTGGTCCTTAATATAGGACCCAATTATTGAGTTGGTTTTTGTCCTAAATATAAGACCCATTTTTCATATTTATCAATTTTCTTTAAATCACCCCTACGGATATTCCCTCAATCATAATCAAGTAGAAGAGGGAGAGAGATATTAAGAAAGATGATTATGGTGTTTTAGGAAAAATGTGTTACATTTCTTATAATTAACTAACTTACCTAACTTTCTTAATATAATCAAATTAGTTAAATGAGTCTTATATTAAGGACCGGAGGACTATAATTAATTTCACTATTTTTTTGTAATAAATGCGTGTTGGCTTCTTTAAACTAGACTGTTTAATCATGTATGCATGTGTATTGAAACTATCCTTTGAAAAAACTTTTTACAATTAATAATTTTTAAAAAATTATAAATATAAGAGACATGGTAGATTAAGATGTTATATGTAGGATCTTATATTAAAAACCAAAAGTAGTACTGTATAATTTTTTCTTTGTTAAGAAGAGGTAGCATGTATTTTATTACTAAATATATATTAGTATTAACTTTGATTTTTAATAAAAGAATTATTTAATTAATTTGAATGAATTGAATAAATTACATACTTACCACAGATATGATTTAATCTTTCTAAAATAACCTTGTATAACATTAAATTATGTATCAATTCATCAGTAATTAATTTCAGAAAGAATGGTGATATATATTTATATATAACAGAAACCAGATAAACTAAAATCTTATATTTATGAACAAAAATCTTGTCTCCAAAGACGGCAGGGAAAGAGGGAGCAGTAAATATATGTTTTTTTTTTTTTTACAAAGTGGATTAGTAAATGTATAACTGTGAAAAAATAAATGCTACTACTATTGCAGAAATTAATCGTTTAGGGGTTACAAATGGACGTTTTGGCGTCAAAGTGGAGGCATACACACCCACACACGAGGAAAACGACAAGATGCTCACATGACCCTCAAATGCCCACATTATTTCATCGCATGGGCCCCACCTCCTCTCCCTCTGAGGGGAATAAAACCGGGTTTAATTTGCTACCTCCATTGTTTTTTTTTTTTTTGGTATTGCCTTTTGTTTTCCAAGTTGTAAAGAAAGCTTCCTGTGTATGAGAGAGAGAGAGGGGGGGTAATTAAGCTCACTCTTTTGTTATTAGCTTAGCCCCTAGCTTCCCCCCACATGACCTCTTCATTAATTCCTATTCCCATCCTTCCCTCTCTCTCTCTTCTCCCTTCCATTTCTATCCCCCCTTGTTATGGCAGTGCAGGTCAACAATAATTTGAATCCTCCATGGCTTTTCCCCTCATTATTCTCTAGGGTTTGAACCTCAAATGAGAATCCACCGACTCTCGTGAATTCTTTACTCTCCAATATCTTCCCCTGCAGATTCTCTCTTCCTTGGTAACCTCTCTTTAATTTCGTCTCCTTCAGTCAATTCCCTCTCCATTTTCTTGTTTTCCCTTTTTTGCTTTGCATCCTTTTTTCTGTTAAATAATTGTATTTATTGTTTCATCAGTTGGTTTTTCTGAGATCCAGAGTTAGGAATTTAATTCCAGGTGGGTGTGACGACTCTCATACTTCATGGAATTGCTGATGCAAGATGTCAAAATGCATTCCCATGATATAGAAGAAGACGAGGAGGAGGAGGAGGAAGAAGCAGAGTTAGCTAGAGAGGAAAGCAGCAACAGTAAGAATTACCTTCATTTCTTACCAAATTTCGAAACTAGTACTCGTCGTCTTCATCATAATCATCATGATCCTCATCAAAATTCATGGCTGGGGCTTCATGATCATCACTCTCCAGATGCTGCTACAGCCAGCGAATCTCACAATTCACAGCCCGGATTAGGGTTAGCATCAGGACCGGCCACCAATTTCGCCGCTAATCACAGAAAGCTAGACCACATGGAGTTGTCACTGGGAGGAATTGGAACCGCCAAAGACGATGAAGAACAAGAAGGAGCTAATTTCCATGGAGGAGGAAGCAGCAGTAACGATGTTGGTGCTACTATTGAGAAAGAGCACATGTTCGATAAAGTCGTCACTCCCAGTGACGTAGGCAAGCTCAACCGTCTCGTAATACCAAAGCAACACGCAGAGAAGTACTTCCCTCTGGATTCCTCCTCCAACGAGAAAGGACTGCTCTTGAATTTCGAGGACCGGAACGGCAAGCTATGGCGGTTCCGGTACTCCTATTGGAACAGTAGCCAGAGCTATGTGATGACCAAAGGTTGGAGCCGCTTCGTCAAGGAGAAGAAGCTCGACGCCGGAGACATTGTCTCGTTTCACCGAGGCGCCGGAGAGTCGTATCGGCACCGGTTGTACATAGATTGGAGGCGTAGACCTGATCACGGCCCAGCCGGCCCTGATCCCAACTTGATTACACCTTTTCTTCTTCATCATCCCCATCAGCCGCAATTTTCTCAGTACTCTATCAGATGGGGCGGCCGACTGTTCTCGCTTCCCTCTCCGGCGCCGCCGCGACCACTGAACCATAGTAATATGTTTCCCTTATATCATCACCAGCAGCAACAAGAGCGACATCATCATCCGCGGCAGTACCAAGGCCATCATCATGATGCGATGAATTCAAGATCTGCAGGTTCGGTGTATTCGAACTTGATAGGGCAACAAGAAGTAAGAAATGTTCCGATGATTATAGATTCTGTTCCAGTTGATCATTATCATTCTCATCATCAAAACTATTACCATGGCAAAAATAGTAGTGCTACTAATACTACTGCTGGTAAAAGACTTAGGCTATTTGGGGTAAACATGGAATGTGCTTCTTCTTCGTCGTCTTCTTCATCACCATCAGTAGAAGAATCCAGATGTTGTAATGCGACAGTAATGGCTAATCCATCAATTTCCTCTTCGTCTTCTATTATCCCACCACCACCTCTTCATCAGTATCTGAGGTTACCCCATGCGGATCCAATTTCTTCGTCGTCATCGTTATCATCAGCAAGATTTCAGAGTCATCAGAAAGGGGAAACTTCGGTGCTTTTTGATTTGGATCCCTCTTTGCATTATAGGCAGTGATCGAATTGGTAATCAAATCAAACAGACAACCAATAAAAGAATGATGATGAGGCCACACTCTTTTGCAGCATTTTCTGTTATAAATTCTAATTTTTTATTGCCCTCGGTCGTTTAATATTTTAGTGCTTAGAGTATCATGGATATTAGTGCTTTATTTATTAGCTGGAAGTTTTGGATTGTTTAACTTCCAAGCAGAAAATCGATATATATATGAACTATATATGTTTAAATCTTTCAACTGTGTATAATACAGTTCATATTGAAATAGATCGATATATAGTAGTAGGTGTTTTTAATATGATGGTTATATCGATAATTTTTCATTCCTGATCGGCTCGATCTCTTTTTCCGTTTCGAGCATTAAATGATGAGCAGAAAAGCTCGTTACTTTTCTTCTTTCCTCTAATGTTTCTGTTAAGCTTGTTGGGTTGATGTGTTGTTTCTGCTGCTTCTGCTTCTGATGATCCCTGCTTCTTCTGCTGCTGATCGGTAAGGCATTTTTAGCTTTGCAGGAAAATAAAGCGCAGAAAGTTGTACAGCTGTAAAAAAGGTGAAATTTTTTTTCTCTTCTTTGGCTTCTCTCATTCCAAAACTAGTCCGACCAACTTGATTTTTACTTTTCAGTTAAGTAATTTCTGCTGTAACTTGGTAGTTACTGCTATCCTATGCTTCATTTATTGATGAGTATAGTTTCTACCCCTCAACATTGACATTACTTTCCCCTCTTCTCCTATTGCAGCCGCCTTCATGTCTGGATTATTACTGCTCAAGAACGTGTTTTAGGTGGAATAAAAGTCACCTTTTCCCACTGGTAAGTACTCTTTACTATTGTGATTCCATTGCAGTAGATTTAATGCTTTGTCTCTCTGATCATCGATCATAAGTGATCTATCTATGCTCCAAGCTTAAAATCACCCTTTGATTTTAGCATTTCTATTTTGCATGCCATGGCCGGTCAATACTATAGTCTGCATCACTGTTATTTTTTACAGTTTAAAGTTGGAAGTAATTGATTAGCTTTGTGCTTTTATGATTTGACACAGGATAATTGCAATAATCATATATAGCTAAATCTGTTGGCTCTGACATAATTGAAGAGATATAAATTGACCCGTTGATTAATCTGTGTATTTTGGTCATTGATAGTATTATCTTTTGCATCTCGTGACTTGATGTCGATTTCAAAACGAGTGGACACAAAATGTGCGCCAGGGGGATTATTAATAGTAAAATTTTCTTTTAAATATGTAAAAACATTATTGTATTATTTTATTTAAAAAAAATTAAATTTTCACTTAAGAAATCATCTGAAGTTATTGGCATTCATGAAAACAAGTAGAGAGAAAGTGTAGATTTTCAGTTTTCTGATTTAGATCGATGTAAATAACCATAAATCCGTCTCTCTTTTCATCCATATATTTCTTAGTCTTTAAATATTCTTTTTCTTTTTCTTTTGATATCTAGATTGAAATTTCCATTTGTTCTCTTCTCCTACGTACGTACGTCTCTAAAGATATCTTAAGTAAGAGCATATAACATATTCTTGTGGAAATTTTTTATGTTGGATCACCTGATATCCAATGCGTAGACCATATATTTGTTGGACTGAGGTACTCGTTTAGGTTAAGAAAAAAAAATTAAAGCAAACCATTGAGTACTTTGAAATAGCGTGATTTTATTATAGAGATTGGTAAAAACTAAAGAGGGGTTGTCTCTAGTTCTCTACCTATAACAGTACCTTAATGCATTTGCTTCAATATATATATATATATATATATAAATGTGTGTGTGTGTGTGTGTGTGATTCCCTTTTTTCATTAGCACCATCATTTCATTTATTCACTCAATGTTATTTGGTGTAAGATATGGTTGGAAACAAAAACAAAGTCCCTCTCACGTTTGAATATTAAAATATTAAAATCACATGAAATACTAACAAACGGACTATTCATAGCCTAAAAAGGAGAGATTAAACAGAAATTTATGTTTTACCTAGTGATGATGGAAAGCGAAAGCAATGCGGAAGACTGTAGGTTCTACTATCTACAGTAAACAAATCGAGATATATATATATATATATATTGTGATCTTCATCACTTTTCCTGCATATTGATGCTCTTTCTGTTAAACTATATATATACTGCCACACCTTTGGATGAATATCAGTTCATACTACTAGTACTGCTCGAAAATAAAGCATGGGGGGGGGGATTAATGCTATCCTTTATTATGACCTTTTTTTGATTTATCTATTCTCATGCATTAACTTTACATGATTACATTGTTCATATATACCAGCTGATCATAATACTTGCAGAAAGAAATTAATTAGAAGAATGTCAAAGACAGACTCAAATTTAATTTAATGATCCAAGTAGAAACCGTATAGGTTATTGGAACTAGATAGTTCATCTAAATATATATATATGTGTGTGTGTGTGTGTGTGTGTGTGTGTGCGCGCGCGCGCGTGTGCGCGCGCACTCAATCCCTGCTTTCTTACATGCATATTGCTGGTTGTGTGTCTATCTGTGTAGGCTGCTATATATTACTGGCTGATTAACCATGATTTATTGTTGTTTTGATTCATTAATTAACCAATCAGAGCTACGAAATAGGCTAATGTTGTGATTAAATTATATATATATATATATATATCGAGGTATCGTATATAACAGATATTACATTAAATGTGTTTGCATTAATCAGTTATGGCGTACTGAACCTAAGGAATGCGTCGTCTAGGGACGAGAGTTCATTTTCGATACTCCTGCAATAATGCATGCGGCATCGAACTGCATCTGTTAATATATTGTAATGTTTCTTTTTTGTATTAAGATTACGTTGTTTAGTTTTAATCAAGGTTGACCTGCATGGATCCTAAATTATGGGCAACTAAGAATTTGTCCATATATTTGTCAAAATATATTATACTATCTCAGGTCATTAATATAAAAGCTAGTTGGGAGTTGAATTTGGTTTTAAATATAAGATCTCAATTCATTTTATCTCCCATCTTTTTTCAAAATATTCTAATTGATTATAAGGGATTTCCACCAAGAGATAATTCCAATGCATTCTATGAACATGACTGAAGAGAATAATTAGGGAGAATAACGTATATTTAATTTGTAACAAATAACTAACTTAATTAATTTTCTTAATATCTTCAAATTAGTTATTTATTAAATATCGGAGGTAGTAACACTCAACTCTGACCATTTAGGGGTAGAATAAACATTTTCGGTGGAAGGAGTTTGAGTAGTATTGTGATTTTATAGATATATATATATATATATATAGGGTTTTAGCTTAATTCGAATCTCTGTCACTGATCATGTCAGAATAAGCAGTGTATTCTGAGATTAATGTCCATGATGATTAAAAAAGTGAATAAGATTGGCTCTCATGGTAGGAGAATCTAAACATATATAGTCTGTGAAATATTTTGTTCAATGATATAATGCATGCATGTCCAGTTTCAATACGCATGCAGAATTATAAATCATATACATATAGTAAAAATATCAGGATTAGGGTAATCGAGAGCTCGTGTTCATAATACTCTGACGTTATACAAACGTATGCAGCAGCACTAATCTCTAGTTAATTTTAAAATATAAGCTTATTATTGTGGCGTACGTTGTATTATTGAAATTTTTATTATATCTTTGTAATTAGACTAAATTCTTTAATAGAAATATCTTTCATGCAAACAAATTTTAAAAACTTAGATAAGAACGAGCTTTAAAATAACAAAAATATTACCTCCTTAATGGGTGTTCTTCTTCTTCTTCTTCTTTTTGGCTTGCATTTGGGTGTTGTCAGCTACACATATTAATAATTTATCGTTTGCTTCTTAACTAGCTTAATCTTCAGTGTCTAGCAAAAATAAACTAAATATTTCTCCCAAATGGATAGTGTACTAGTATTTGCACTTTGTTTATATCGTTATCGCGCCTTAATTTAATTATGGCATTTTGTTAACCATTCTCTGCTTCCGAAGGAGCTAACAGAAATTAATACCACTATCTGCTTTTAAAGTTTTAATAATGAGTCCACTTATGTGTGATTTTGTTTCAAGATTAAATTCTTATTTTGACTCAAATATTTTCCCTCCAAAACAGTCGGGTTTAAGATATACTTAACCTTATATATTGCTCTCACCCAAAATAGTGTGAGTGTATATTTAAATTTGTATAAAATATAAAAGTATTAATAACAAAAGTTAAGTAGAGGGCAAATAATGGATTGAAAAATATACGTTTAAGACAAGTACATATTCTGAAAAGCTAGTGTTTTTCAATTCAATTATTCTGTATATAATTGTACGGTACTATTATTGATAACGCATGAGATTTTTATTGCTCGATGCACACATAAAAGTCACCAACGCACAGAGGCAAATTTAGGTGCACAACAAATAGATAGCCACAAAAAGAGACGTACGATGCTGAGATGTGTGTGTGTGTGTGTGTGTGTGTGTGTGTGTGTGTGTGTGTGTGTGTGTGTTGCCCTCTTGCAAATGCCAGGAGCCTCTTACAATAATATACTATATGTTTTTAACAGTATGGAATTCTTTGGTAATATTTATCCTCGAGATTCTTTAATTATTATTTTTAAATCATTGTTCTCTACTTCATACATACATACATATATATATATAGTTACGTACTGTTATTATTTTGACATTTGACTTCAAATTTTGACCTTATTCAATCTTTATCCACATCTAATCTAATTAAAATTCCTATTTAGAATTCTAAATTTATTTTAATCCGATGCTTTTCCTCATCTATTTATTTCTTAAGCTGGAGTTAATTATATGTTTCTTTCTGATGTACTATTCTAATTAATTAAATTACTTTTTCTTCTTGTTCTTTATAGCTTATACGATTAACCTCCAATTAATTAAAATGAATTATTTAGTGAGATTAATTAACTGTATTATATATACTCTTATGTGTATGTTTAATATGAAAGCTGCAGGAAGTTGCGTATTATTACTTATAAATAATGTGTCTCAGCTTAATCGTATTTATTTCTAATTTGATAAAAATATTTTTGGGAATTATATATATATGAAGTATGAATATAACTTATTTTGCATTTCCTATTGATCTTGAAAAATTACCCTTTTGTTTTCTTCGTTCTACTTCCCCCTATTTTGAAGGTGGGGTACGAATTTATTTTTCTAAAATCTGAACTATTTCTTTATGGAAAAAAAATCTAAAATGCCATGTAAGTAGAGGCGACTTATGAGTACGTAGTTAGGGCAAGAAATATATAAATTAAATGTGCGTGAGAATTAAAGAAAAGGATAATGATGAAAGGTGGTGGAGTCCCCACCCTACGAAGTAGAGATCAGGTTAGGGCTAATTAAGTGGTGATAGTGATGGACTCTGGAGATGATGACCACCGCACATATGTTTGAATTGAATTTATAAAACCTAATTCGATTCGATCGGTTAAATTAATTATGATCTTCTCATCGATAAATTAATTATGTGTGCTTCGTAACTCCATTTTGATGGAATATGCATAATTTATCCATAAATGTTTCATTTACTTGTAAATTAATATCTTATTATTCAAATATTATTCTTTTTAAGGCGGGATAATTCTATAAAAGAAGTTTGAAATTACTAAATTTCAAATACAAAGTTTCTCTAACAATGTGTTGTTATTTATAAGTTCAGTATTTGTTACTAAACCTATTTCAAATTTCAAATTCAACCCGTGTTTTGAAATATCTTTCTAGATATTTTCAAGTATTTTGTGATTTACTGTTAATTCAATGGATGTAATAATAATGGGTCCAATTTTCAATACAAATTGGCACACAAAAGTGAGCACGCAACAATATTTGGGTTCAACTTTTTATTTGTGTTTCCCATTGATTTAACATTGGGCGCATGCCTTATGGCGCATCAGTGATACATCCAAATCACTCTCATTTCCTCTCAATGTATATCATTAAAACCCTTTTCTCTGTAACCTTATCCATGGACCACCACGTACGCCTCCTCACATCTTTATGATCTTTTTCTTTTACCACCTTAAAGTTCATTCTCTTTATTGTTCGTTCGTCTATTTTCATTGTATCCATATTGGTCCCCCATGCATATCTCCTATATATCCCCGATCATGTAATTCTGCTCCTTCACTTTCTACTTCTGCTGACAATCCATGCACCTTCTCATAATAACCCTTTCTTTTTCCTCACCCGCTTTTTTCAATTTACTCATTTCATTTTAATACCTCCCTCGCAATCTGTTTGTTGAAAGTTCTATTCTCAGCCCCGTATATGCAGAGAGAGAGGGGGGTGCCCTAGAGAAAGGAAGGCAGCCCCAAAAGTGACTGACGAAACCCTGTGGATCGAGTATGGTTAAGGGATCATCTCAGATCAGATCCATTCACACACACATCTATTTGCATTCAGAGAGAGAGAGAGAGGCTCATTTATGATGGCATCTCTGCGCAGGACCATCACAGGATGGAGCCAAAACAAGGACCATCCCTCCAGAAAGAGAAATACAAAGCTCACGTCTCCTTCGTCCCCCGAGAAAAACCGATGCCTAATCTGCATAATTCCAACTCTTCTCACATGTGCTTTTTACCTCTTCTATAATGGTCCATTCCCACCCCCTTCACACCTATATCCTTACACACTGTCCACTTTGCTCAAAAATATCTTCTCCACTACTCAACAAATCCATCCATCTCAACCTTGCCAAGGGTAAGGTAAGGCCAAAACCTGGTTAGGTAACTTTGAATTCTTATTACCAGAAAAAAGAAAACAAAAGAATTCTGGCGTGAAGACATCTAGAGTGTGTGTGTGTGTACACAACATAGGTCGGTAGGTGGGTAGCTAGGCATCTCGCATATCTTGATATTTACTATAGTATTTAATGATCCCTTGTTGTCTGTTTTTCTGCTGTCTTGTTACTTCAGCAGTGCTAAATACGAAAGGAACTAGAGAATGTTGTAGTCTGCAAGAAGCTTCTTTTAACAGCATCATCTTCATCCATCACCACTAACTATTAAAATTTGATATTTAAGTTTAGGCATTCTAACCAGATCTTTTGGGATTCAACTTTTAGGGTATTTACAGGTTATATTAAGATTGAACCCTCCCCTCCTCCGCTTTCCTTCTCTAGATGCTACTCCCTTATTCGATCGGTTTTAATCATAAGAATCTCATAATATGACATGTTTTGGCTTAAAGCATTAATTTTTTTTCACTTATCCCAGAGGGAGTAATATATATGTATTAAAAAGACCAGTGTGTGTCTTTATATATTTATAATAATTGGGCCACACATGGTAGGAATGAAAACTAATTAAAAGGGGGCAAATGCGGGACCAGAGAGAGAGGGAAGGAAGGAGGGTGTCCTAAAGAAGGGAAGCGATCCCCAAAAGTGACTGAAACTCTGCCAATTTCGGTTGAGGGGATGGTCAGATGCAGCCACATACGTAATTGAATCCACAACACACTCATTTATTACTATACCCCTTCCTCAGGGACCATTGTTGCTGCATGCACCCACACAAGGACCATTATCTATCCCCTTCACGACTCTCCCAAACACAAAAAACAAACCCCACCTCTCTCTGTCTCTCTCTCTATAGATATATATATGTCTCTCCTTCGTCGCCAAGAAAAACCCTAACCTAACTCATCACATGATTCCAACTCTTCTCCACATGTGCTTATGCCAGAGACCTAAACCTCTCGTATTGATCCACTAAGCCTCGCACACATATACACAACACACACACACGCACGCACGCTTACTTATAGAATGTGTGTATTTTGTTGTGATCTCAATACTCGACATTATTATGTCTGCTTCAGTGAAGAGGGTATCTGAAAACTAGGGTTACATCCTTGGCATGTGGAAGGTCAAAGAACCTAGTTAGCAGGGAACTCTGGATTCCAACATGAAGGCATCAAAAGTACTATATATAACAGCTAGGGATAGCTAGGCAGCTACATATATATAGGCATCTAGTAGGTATCACGATATTGCATGCGTTGGTGTTTAATAATATTAATGATACTTTTTGTCTGTTTTTTCCCTTGTTTTGTTATTACGTACATCAGCACTAAATACGAAAGGAACTAGAGAATGTTATGTAGTCTGCACGAAGCTTCTTTTTTAGCAGAACCAGAACCCTTCTATTATGGCTCGTCTTTATTTCACTTCGTTGTTATTTGGGTTCTCGATTCTGCTGTTTCAGTGAATATATATATATATATATATATATATATTATTGTTAGCCGTGCTAACCGTTAATGATTCTCCTGTAAGTCAGAAGAGAAGAACAAAAGCAGATTATTATGAGTATATTTACAGGGACAATATTTTATTATATTTTATTCTCTCTCTCTTTCGCCAGTTGGATATGGATATGGATGTCAATCTTATTTAAACGAAAGCAGGGTGAGAAAAATATAAAAGATGGACAAGAGTATAATGGTGGATGCATGACTATATAAAATCAATACATCGTTATATATAATATTCGATTGATTTCGAGTTATATATATATGTCCTTATTATAAGACCCAATTGACTTTTATAGTCCTTATAATCCATTTTTCTTTTTATTTATGCATTTTTTCCAAGATAATCCTTCTAATAATGATAGTTTTAGCCAATATACTTAATTAGCAAGGATTTTAGGAATAACAACACTTATTTATTATAAATAACCAACTTAACTTACTTCTTTAATCTCCTCAAATAAGTCAATTGGGTCTTATAATTAGGACCGGAGGAGTATATATATTAATGCTTTTTCCCTTGTCTTTTAATCCTGGGACTGATTCTAAAAAAAGAAAGATCACGAAATTCTAGAGCCACCCAAAATCCAGAAATTCGAGGGCACATCTTGTTCCTACTTCCTAGTTCCATTTGTGTGTAATGATGGAGGCACAAGGTTAGAAGAATGCCCCAAGAAAGTCGCATGCGAATGCGCGTGTGATTCAATTATTATCATGTAATTTTAGACTAATTCAAGCATAAAATTATGATATTGACAAAAATAGATTACATTATAATGTAATACAAGGTACTCTTTATTTTTCATCAAGTATTTTATTTTAATTTTTAATTATATTCTCTCAATATGTAAATTTAGGTATCATTTTTAGGTCCCAAAAAAAAAGAAAAGAGATTCGATGTATTGTTAGGCATTGAGAATTAAGATATCGCATAAATAAAATAATTTCTTTGGCAGCTTGAGACCAACTGGGGTGGTGGCGCAGTTGGCTAGCGCGTAGGTCTCATAGCTTTGTTGAGTTATCCTGAGGTCGAGAGTTCGAGCCTCTCTCACCCCACTAGTTATTTTTCCTAGTTTTTTTCAATTATCTTCGGTAAGAGAAAATGTATTTGTGCAAGAATTATTAAAAAAAAATTGTGTAAAAATTAAAATGCACAGAGGTCGTAGTCGTAAAAATGATTAATGAGAACTCATTAATGAATTTCATTATGAGTTAGGTTTCACCTATTAAGCCTAACCCCACCATATAAGCGGGAGGATTTTCTTATGTGAACTATATTAGCCTTTTTCTTTCTGTTCGTGCGTCTAGCCTGAAAACTAATAAATAAATCATAATATAGATTATTACATTTTTTGTCTTATACTGGCATTGATTCAATATTTTATCATGTGGACTTCTCTTGGATTATTCCTCTTTCTTTTGAAAAATATCACAAAAAGAAGCTTGAAATTGCAGGTTTTATAACAATACTTAATAGGTTTTGATAACATTAGACTTGCAAATAACATTACATTTTTGTAAAAATTTCTTATAGCAATTTTTTTTTTTTGTGGGATTATCTCTTCCTCTTTTTGCATTACACTTTTGGGCTACGTTTTGTTTGATGGAAAGGCGGGGCATGGAGGGGGAGAAGGGTTGGGAGAGTTTTAAGCACTTTCTTGCTTAGTAGTTAGTAGAGCCAAGCCAATGGAAAATCTTTTGGGAGAGCTCCTTGGGAATGTTTTAGGGAGACCCCTTTCCTCTCACGTTTCAATGAATTGGAGGGAAGTCTCCTTGGAAGGGTTGCACGATGACAAAAATGTCCTCATAATATTTTGTATATTCCAACCTTGCCCTTTCCCCTATATTTATATAATTTTATTTACATTATATTTATATTTCATATATATATATTATCAGATCATATAATATGGTTTTATATGTCATAATGGCTTCAATCTTAGCAATGTGTTCAGAAGGTAAGGTAATATATAATGGTATTATAATAGTCTACTTCCATGTAATCAATTGCCAGGTCATATCATTCAAAATAATACATTACAGTGCGATACCAAAAAATAAGAATAAAAACTGAATTCTTCCTTTTACCCACTCAGTACTATTGCCTCTTGATTTATGAAACCTGAGTCTAACATTGGAAATATTGAAAACTCTCCAAAGCTAAAGCTAATATTTTATTATACAAGTCAACAGCTGGAGCTATATGCCAACTCCCAATTGCAACAATGTTAGAATTTATTCTTCGACATTATACATTGGCCTGATACGTGTTCCATATCAAAGAAAAAATATGTGGAGTGTGAACCAGGGCCTCCTAGTTCCAGCCGTAGACTAGTTTTTGAGCCAAGCCATGTTACAAAAACCAACGACTAAGACACAGCACTGAAGTATACAGTGAATAAGATATTAGTTCAAAGGAACTACAGAATTCCTGTTGGTTAATGCATTTTCTATTAGAGATGAAAGTTCTATACACAGTTCTCCCATCGCCTGAAAAAGGTGGCAAGAACTAAGACAAAATTGGCTACATATATATCTTCTGCACAAACCCTACTCCACACAAAATATGCAGGCAGGGGCGGCATGGAGAGCGTTTTCTTGGAGGCTATACAAACATTTATTAAAAGGCCTAATCGCACCCGCAAGAAGCTAGGTACGGCTCTGCAAACCAGAACAGCGCATTCTTGTGGGTGAAAAATCAACTGTAAGACAAGCATGATCAGAAAGAGAATAGTCATCTGGCCACAGTCCTTTCTCTACTTCGTGGGGGAAGAGCACTGCATTCTTCACCTTGAAACCAACGGCTTCCTCATTGGACTCTCTATCGTCATCCTCCAGATGTTCCAACATGCTATCAGACCACGTACGATTCCAAATCCTCTGTATAGCAAATAAAGCAAGAGGGTTGGACAACTCATATTTTGATCAGACAAATTTCAATACTATGAAGATAAGATTTCAGTATACCTTGAATTTTTCAAAGTCAAGGATACCGCTTCCATCCACATCTGCTTCAGCCCACAGATCCTTTAACTCTTGGAAGCATAACCCATGAGGCACACCAATCAACTTCACCTGCAATATCGCATTGGAATATTAGTATGTTATATTTCTGTTCTTTTTGGCCTGAAGAATATTACATGTTCATTTATCAAAAGATTATAAAGTACCTGACGAAGTGCATCAGAGAAACTGCAGAATGTCACAAAATCATCACGGTTGTCACCTTTCAGAAAGGCAAATGCATCATCTTCTGACAATGAAGCCTTTCTTAATTGGTACTAAAAAGGGGAAAAAAACACCAAGTATTAGATATAAAGCTGACATAGTATCAACAGGATTAACAACAATGAAAAAGGAAAAGGAATATCAATGCCCTTGTTTGACGCTTCAGGTATTTGTAGGGCTCTAAACCAGAAAGCAAATTCTACTAAATTTCCTCTAACAGAACATGTAAAGCCTTAAACCATCCTTTATTTCACAGATATCCGATTTTCAAGGCGAATGTAATTGACTAAAATTTATTAACAAGAAGCTTATTTAACACTTGCCACACATTCTTCCTATATATAGTTTCAGTTGCATATCTAGTCTTCAAGTTGAACAAATTAATTGGATATTAAAATACAACTAGAAGACATAACAATGGCCTGTAATCACCTTTATTATACTAAATAAAGCTTCGGCCCAACTTGTCTTCAAGGGTTTTCGTGCTTTGTTAGGATTGCAAAGCCAAATGAAGTCAACACCGCAGATATTTCCCCTATGATTTCGGTGGCTAACCCACTGCAAGATCAATGCATTGAGGGGGAAAAGAAAAATCTGTCAATATTATGCATTCTTTGCTATAAAAGCACATGATTAGAACAGTAATTGCAGGTTATCAACCTTGTGGGCATCTGCATCACTGTCAGTATATTGATGAGCAATGTCATAGGAAGATATAAATCCCTGTGACCTAAGGAACTTGTAAACATGCCCGCGCTTGCTTCCATTCCAGTCACTGCAAACAATGAAGATCGGACATTTAATTCAATACTTGATATAGAGATTCATCTTGCAACATGAAAGAAAAATCAAATCATTAACTCACCCACAGAGTATAATAGGCATGGGTTTAAGCTTGTTTTCTCTCTGATACAGCTCAACATGTTGCAATATTTGGTAAACCTAAAACCAAAAAAAAAAAAGAAAAAAAAAGTGAGATTTAAGAATAAAAACAATGTAGCTGTGAAACCAATTTATGAATAAAATGTAAGTTTATAATTGCAGAGCATGTTTATACCTGACGCAGTCTCACAACGGACAAACTTGAATCATGAGGAAATAACAAATGTGTATTAACAATCAGAAACTCCTGGTGAAAGTTACCCTTTTGGCTCTGTGAAAAGGGGGCAACTGACTCAACATGTATTAACTGAGCAACACGATCACCGAAGTCATTGAAAAGCAGCTCTCGATAATTCACAACTCTAAGATATTCCTTGCATATGGCAGTCAGAAGACCTGCATCAGAGAAATATGGATTTTGAGATAGAAGCATCAGAACAACAAATTTACTTGGAAAAGATTTTTAAATTATGAAAAAAAAAATTCCCAAGAAACACATGGAGCAAATGAATACTGCCGGCCACTAACGGGAAACTAGGTCTTCAGTCATTAATTTTAAGATAGCCCACCTAAGGATAACTGCTATTTTTCAGTTTGCACAACTAATGATTATTGATAAAATCACATGAATTCCTTGGAACCAAAGTTAACTTTTTCATATAAAAAACGAGGCTCAGGAAAGTTTAAAAGAATTAGTTTAAAAGATATTTGAATATTCATTAGTGTGTTAGCATGTAATGTATAACCTAAAAATTTCAAGAATAGAACAGAAAAGGAAAGGAAATGAGTTTTCAAAGTGATCACAAAGCAACAATGTTCCAACACCAAGAAGTGGAGGGAGGGAGGGCTAATTTTTGGCATCAAGCAAATTGAATTAACCAGAAATTTACCAGATCATAATAAGCGGACAGCCTAGAATACTCAACATACAACTCAGATGATTGCTTGAGCAGTAGACCGCCCAGCTTTGAGTTTAAGTTGACCAACAACTAACCAGAAATTAGTGTAAGATCATTCATGAGTCAAATCAAACCGAATTAGAATTGGCACGCGGTGCTCCACACAAATCCAATGGTTGTGAATTCACGTTGAGAGAGGAAAATCCACTTACCATCGCCACGATTGTTGGTCCGAGCAAGCTTTAAAAGAACGTACCCTGCATTCCCGAGTCTCTCCTCATACATCTTAACAAGCTCTTCATTTTCAACCCAGAATTCCTATAAATTTTGGTATATAAGTCAGTATATGGTGAAGTAAGAGCTGATAGGAAAAGTAGAGATCATTTAAAAATGTATTGAGAATGAAATAACCCTCTCCTAGTAACTAAAAAAGGGGAGAAAAACCGTTACCTGGAGGCACATAATGGAAGATGATTCATAAAGCAACCAGTCCAGAATCCTTTGGTTCCTGGCCAACCATAATGATCTAAAGTCACTTTCTCTAAGGCATTGATTCTGTTTAAAACCACGAGAATCAAACGAAATAGAATCAGTAAAATCCTCCAGAATAAATAATCCCAAACATACACCACCGTTTAAGAACGACAAGAACAATATGACTCCTTGAAAAGAGAACTGTATCCTGGAACAGTATGCAATTCCTTTTGAATGAGTGAATCACATCTATTTGAGAGGGAGAGGGAGAGGGAGAGGGAGAGAGCGCTAAACCTGAGGATCAAGTCGTTTGTAAATAGGAGCCAAAATATTGAAAGTGGTACATGACACGCACGAAGGGTCTCTTTCCGACGCATCCGCCATTGATGAGAAATGGCTACTACTAGTTCTCGTAAGATCTCCATTACTGTCATCAGTAATCACAAGATGAGAAGGGTCCTTCGCTCTTCTCCAATTGAACTTAGCTTTGGAACCTGCTGCTACAACCTGAACTCCAATCCCACTCATATCAACTCTTCTATTTGAAAAATTCCTTTTTGTTTCAAAACAAATCTAAGAAATTTAAACGAATCCAGCCCAGAAAAAAGAAGAGAGAAAGAGAGAGAATCACCTACCATTCTTATAAATCTCGCCACTGTCAATAAACGATGACGGACTGGTCGATAATAAAGAATGTCCTGGGAGCGTATATTTGCGGATTGCTAACGGGATCTGAAAGGGGTCACAGGTTTTCAGCTTTAAGGGAATAAATGGACTAAAAATCCTCTCTTTTTCTATTTTCTCTTTAGCTTGTGAGATTCGTCGCGAGGCGTTCGTGTGGTACAAATAGAGTGAGAGCGAAGGGTTCTGGTTTTTGCGGTGTCGCGTGAATTAAAATAAAACAATGTGAGAAGGAGGGACCCTCTGCCACTGGTTTTCCAGCGGCACGCTGAAGCATAGGCTGTGATGTGTGAATGGAATCTAATCATTGTATTTTCATGATTTTAAGAAATTTTATTTTCCCATGAATTTAGGGAGAACGAGAATCGAAAAAAATGACGCTAATTTTACCAGGATGGTGTTGTTAACGCTGACTTATTTTAATATATAAAATTAACGTCACAATGTAATCATTAAAGATTACAATTAACGATGGTAAATTTGAACTGATGAGTCTTTAGCAAAAGTCAATCTCAAATACCACGTTCTTTTTTGTCCAAGCCGTGGGTTTCCATTTTCGACGAGAAGAAGCATGAACATTCTACTCTTATCCCATTTAGAGTGTAGAGTAAGAAGCAACTTTTTTTATCCTGTTTATAAAATTGAGAAAAAATTTGTTTTATATAAATATATAATTTTAGTCTTCATTTACTTTTGTGTTGACTTTATTCTCATAAAATATAATACTACTTCCGGTTTTAATTATAAGACCTAGTTGACTAATTTAAGAATATTAAGAAAAAAAGTTAAGTTAGTTATTTATAATAAATATGTGTTATCTTTCCTAAAATATCTTTGTTAATCAAGTATATTAGCTAGAACTACCATTATTAAAAGGACAGTCTTGAAAAAAATATATAAATATGATAGAGAAAGTGGATTGGGGTCTTATATTTAGGATCAAAATAAAAGTCAAACAAGATCTTATATTAAGGACTAGAGGTAGTATGTGTTAAATAGGAATAAAATTTAAAAACTATTGAATTTTAAATGAGAGTTAATAAAATTTAATATATTTTTTTTATAATTTGTGTAAAACATATTAAAAATGACTTATGAATAGGATGAGAAAAATGTTACAAAACTATAACTTCAAAGATTGTAAGAACTAATATGGGGTAAAATAATATTTAACATTTTGGTGCTATTTATTTCTAAGTAGCATTAAGTATCTTAATTTTATTTATAATACATTTAACATTTTTGATATTATTTCTTGATGCTTTCAATACCATAATCTTATTTATATTATATTCAACACTTTAGATTATAAATAAAATTGAGATGTGAGATATAACTGAAAAATAATATCAGGTTGCTGAATACACATTAAATAGAATTAATGTATTAGATGCCATTGGAAAATAACACCAAAGTTACGGATGCTGCTTTACTCTTTACCTGATTAATATAAGCTTAAATGGTAAATACGGCAAATTATATTATCCAGAATCCCGGCAAAAAAACTTATATTATCCAGAATAAAATATGAATAGGAATGATGTATTAGTTGAATTTTACTATTATATTCTCTAAAATATAATTCTTTATAATAATCACACACAAAACTTATTCAGGACACAAAGAAGTGGTTGGTGGCCACCCCTTTCCTATTTATTAGATTCAATATTGGTGATCATTATAAGTTCTTTATTTTATTGAAAAGATTAAACTTTAATCATTATCTTTGTGCTTCATTTTACACTAATCTATGCTTTAAGTTTCAAAGTATATGTACGTTTTTAAATGTTGGATATATTCATGTTTATATTTATATATCATGATTTTACTCCATTCGAAATCTTTCGAAAATGAAAAATACCCAACAATTCTTTGAGTTGATCATTTCCAATATTTAGATTTTAATATTTCTTATCATTTTATAAATATTACTATTCATTATTTTTACAAAGATGATTTTTATTTTTATTTTTTGTCATTACAAAGATATCTTTAGTTTATTTAACATATCAAGTGAGTCTAAAATGGTTCAACATAAAGTATCAAAGACACAGCAAAATGCATTATTTATAACTAATACAAAGTTCAATTCGTTTTAAATTATAAAAAAAGGTATTTAATTTGTCATAAATATGTTAAAACATATATATTGAACAAACAAAATGGACAAGGGAGTGATGACGAGCGTACCACTCATAATTGGCGTTTTAATAATTAACAGTTTCTTCATCTTTTTCGAACCTACTGTATTTTTTTTTTTTGGTGAAAACCTACTGTATTTATCTTGAAGGTCAAACAACTTTTTTCATATATGATACAGAAAAATTAAAGAAAATATTTTTTTAAGTGTTTAAAATATTTATGTCTTATTATTTAATTATTATCTATTGGTATAATATCAATATTTCTATATTCTGATGTTACTTGTACCTCAAACTTCACGTACAAGGGAGGAAGCTCATCTAATAGTGCGTTGAAAGAAGACATGACATGACATGACAAATACCTTCCGTCCGATGAAAGAAAGCCGATAATAAGTTAGTTATTGAACTAATATTTTTTTTTAAAAAAAAACTGAAATATGATAGTTTTAGTACATGAATTAGAAAACAAAATGCATGAAAAAATAGTGAGTTTTGTAACCTAATGGTACAAGAACTCTCCTACAAATAAAAAATTTGATCCTACTTGTAATTTTAAACGGTTAGTACTTATTTTTTTCACCTAAAAAACATGAATGTATGAGAAAGCAATTAGCCAAAAGTGACTCTCTAATATTATTTATGAGTAACTTTTAACATATTTCATTAATATTAAGAAAAATCTTAAACCTCTTTAATTCTATCTTAAAAGATTTGATGAAATGATTTATAAATATAAGGAACAAAATTTTCTTCACCTTTTAAATAAATAGTCTGATATTGGCAAGTGAGGCGTGGACAAAATGAATTGGTTCTAAAGTCAAGGGAGAGACTGGGGGTCCAAAACCAATGAGGAGGCAATATTGAATCACATGCAAGCCCGTTAAAAGTTGGTTTAGTTAGTTATACTCACCTCATGTGGTCAAATTTGGGACCAAATGCTCAAATTCACTTTCGGCTTGCCAAACTCAATATCTTAATACAATATCCTTTATAAAAATTTGTGAAATATTTATAATCAGTTTTCAAGAAAATGCCTTTGCCTCCTTATAATCCTTCCTCCCCAGTGAATTGTGCCAATCAAAAAGGTCATTTCGGGAAGTTACAAAACTTTTTGATATCTGACAAACTTTAATTAATTTTTTTATTATTAGGAAAATAATTGATAACACCTTATAAAAAGGGTTGCAAGGAGTGTTCTATTTTACAAAAAACAAAAAATCAATTTCAAATAAGCATAGATAAAAATTAGTTTTTGCAAAAAAAAAAAAAGGGTTTACATTCCTAAACACGTGTCGGTTGATTATGGGAGTTGTTCAAATGTGTTGGAGGCCATAACCGGCAAACTGGTGGAACGCGGCAGCCAGCAAATCATTTGTACTTGGCCAAAATCGCTTGTCAACAGTTGGTTCAGCTAGTTGAACCTGTTTTATGAGTTGAGATTTTTTTTTTTAATACTACTTTCGATCCTTAATATAAAATCTTATTTGATTTTTAATTTAATTTTAAATATAAGATTTTAATCTATTTTATCTCTCATATTTTTCAAGGTAGTTCTTTTAATATTGGTAGTTACAGCTAATGCACTTGATTAATAAATATATTTTAGAAAAGACAATACATATTTATTACAAATAACTAAATTTATTTCTTTAATTTTCTCAAATTAGTTAACTAACTTTTATAATTAAGACCGAAGGTAGTACTTTTGGATTTTGATCTCGTTGGTTTTAATTTCTATAATTTAATGTCCTTTTAATCTGAGTTTAAATAATGGTCCATATATTTTTAGTAAATTTTATTTTTTTGACCAAAATTAAATTTTAATTTTAGTAATTATATTTAAAGTCACACTAATTCCTTGCAAAACCATATGGACCAAAGTCAATAATTTAAAACTATAAGGATTAAGACTAAAATTAAATCAAATAAGTAAAAAAAACTAATTTTTTTTCTTATGAGGTAATCTCAGATCACCAATTTCTTTTTCATATAAAGAAAAGTCTATAAACATGACAGAGTGATGTACGTCTTACGTGTCATGTGTGCGTGTCGTCCTCATTCATTGTATCTTAATACAGATATCATGACACACGCAATCCCTACTGCCTGCCGACTTCTTACTTAATAAATGAGTGGGGAAAAGACAATAAAGAAAAAATCACCGACAAATATAATTATAAAAATGCAAGCAAAAAAATGGAGTGCAAATTTTTTTTAATATTAAACTAAAAAAGTATTTCAAACATATTTATTGAAAGGCCTTTAATCTTAATATTTTCAATGTTTCATTCTCTCCATCTCCTTCTAACTCAATAAATACTTAGGATCTAACAATAGTTTTATATAAGTCAATACCATCATCTAAAATTATTTATGTATTTTAAAAGATCAAAACTACAATCGATAAAAATAATTAATTAGAACAGTTTTTTTAATTTGTTAAAATTTTTATTATTATTTAGAAATACTAAGCTAGAAAATTAATACCTTAAACAAAACATATATTCCTCTGGTCCTATTTATAAGACAGAGAGAGAATATGTTTTTTGGTCCTATTTATAGAGTACTAAAAGAAATTTTTTTTATAGATGTACACTTTTGCCCCCTCATTTATTATGGTATTAACTTTGTTTACATGAGATATAATGTATATTAAATAGAGATAAAGTTAAAAAATTATTAAATTTTAAATAAGAGTTAATAAAATTTAAGATTTTTATTGGTTTATGTAAAAGTAATGAAAGTTTTTTATAAATAAAACTACACGAGTATTATATTATGAAAGATGTTGAAAATACTGATAGATAAAGGAAAAAAATCAGCCTTTCTTCCTTTTGTCTGTCATGAATCATCATAACAATGGGCAAACATCACGTTGGCCTTTTCCACCGATCCCTTTCTTTTCTTTTTATCACTCTCCCTTTTTTTTTCTTTTTCAATTGGAAAAAAACCACAAACTTTAAAATTTTACAAGTCATACTGGACAAAAATCCTCAAATTATAGAGCTGCATATCTTTTCTAAAGTAAAGGTGTGTGAAACCACAATGCATCTCCACTCAACTCAAGCTATCCCTGTCCAATCATCCAAAATGGCAACTTCGCGAAAGGGATATTAAAGAGGTGAGGAAATGCAAAAGAAAACAAAAAGGATAATGGAGGGAACCATGTCCCGAAAAAACAAAGATTTTTGAGCAAGTTGCATGGACTCGTCCATATCCATATCATTATATAGCTTTCAAGCAAGCTTTCTGGGATGTCCACCAAAGAAAAAAAAGGCACCCCATTTCTTAGCCGTTACTCCAAGAATACCTCCAAACTATTCCTTCCGTTTTCTATTTGAAAAGGGGTAAATATATATATATATATATATATATAATATTGAACCCTTCTGGTTTATAACTCAAAGCTTCCATTCTAGAGGACAATCCTGTGTCCGTGGTAGTGATGAAGACGGATTACAGAAGGGGGTGCTACTTAATTATGTAAGATAAGGTTTAGCATGACTTCTTCTAAAGATTTCTTCTACAATTGAACCATGAATACACACGTATACTACTTCTAATCTTAAATATAAAATCTAATTTGTAACCCAATTTACATCACAAAATATATCAATATATCTAAGATTGATCCAGTTCCAAATCAGAATCTTCGTTGGCGAAAACAAAGAATCTCATTAAGGATAGATAGTTCCTTCCAAAACATTTTCGGAATTCATGTGACAACGATATTTTAATACTCCTCCGGTCCTTATTATAAGACCCAATTTGACTTTTTATTTGGTCCTAATTATAAGACCCAATCCATTTTGTCTCTTATATTTATGCATTTTTTTCCAAGATAATCCTTCTAATAATGATAGTTTTAACCAATATACTTAATTAGCAAGGATATTTTAGGAATGACAACACTTATTTATTATAAATAACCAACTTAACTTACTTCCTTAATCTCCTCAAATAAGTCAATTGGGTCTTATAATTAGGATCGGAGGAGAATTTTATTTTTATCTTTCACAATTTAACTTCTCACCATCAACACTTGAACGATAGACCTACTTGTTAACTTGGAATTTCAGAAACATTCAAGATGGTGATTATTATAGTATTATTATTATTTGTTTTTCAGGCCATATGTATTAATAGGAAGTAGGTGAACAGAACGCCTGACAGATGGGGTGGGATTTAAAGCATAATTAGGTTATCAATTACAATTAATATGAATTTTTCTCAGCTAATTCAGATTTTCTCTTCCTCCATGGCAGTTTCAGCGGTCAAAACTGACGCAAAAAACAAATGAGATCAGCATTAGCCCTTTGTTCCTAAAGATTGCAACACCTTGTGCACGGTAACCAACTCTGAACAGAAAGACACCACTTCCTTGAAAAATCACGCCTGAATTGCAATGCTCCAATCCAGTTACAAGAAAAACCTCCTTCGGCTTGTGTCCATTTCCGGCTAAAGAGAAAGAAAACAAAGTTAGGAAGAAGATAATGGCACACAATTTACACTGTAAGTTCGGCTAATAAGCAAATTACCTTGTGAACCCACTCATATTCTCCACCCTTGCTGTCAAAAGTTCCATGCTGCAGGCTGATTAACTTCAATGTGAAACGGGGGCCACATTCCTGCAGTTTTAAATTCAAGTTATTGCGAAGTTTAGAGACCTAACGATGTGCAATTAATGCATGAGTTAGATGAACATGACAAAGGGGTTGTTTTATTTTATTTTATTATTAGTGGTTTACCCATCATCGTTAAAATATTTAGACTTCCTAACATTTCCATTTTTCACTGAATCCATCCCAACCCACCCCATCAATGATCACACCACTCCAGTCCCAAAAACTACCTCAAGACACAATACCCAACCACAATGGCTACGATAACTAGTGTTTTATCCTCACATTGAGGCAAGAAAACAATGAGAAGTATTTAACAGCACAGCATGAAAACATATAAGGTCTTCGTATAATAACTTCCATGAATTAGTTTGAGGTATAAAACCGGCCACAGAATAGAGCTGGAACCAACCTGAAGGCGGGCAATTGTCTTCGTTTGAGGAACATTCTCCCCCTTGGAATCATTGGTCCTGTTGCCTTTTGAGTCAGTCTTTTTTACTTCTTTTGTTTCAAAAATGTACCTACAATACACGTTTTTGGGGTGAGTAACTACAGTAAATAATTAACACAATAAAGAGCTGAAATTGATAGAACTATGCTCTTCTGGCATTATGCTAATCAAAATAACATAGAAACAACCCTACCAATATGAGGAAATAGGTAAAAATAGAAGTTGCAAGTACAAATCAGAAACCAATAGAACATCAGTAAAACATAACTCAGCACAGCAATATTGAAATAAAGAAAATGCAGAAACATATATATAGCTCTAGCTTTTGAGAGGCTCTCTCTCACAAATTCATCACAGAATGAATGCAACCTTCCGCTAGCCTCCAAGGTCTATCCACCCAACCTTCTCTCTCTAGCAGCATACCACAGCACAATCATCATGGTTCACAGTATTCTCACATGTAGTTCCTTTTCCCTCTCCTCAGTCTGCCCTCTACTAGTATCTCATTTCCTCTGATTGGATCAGGCACACCCCTTTCTCCCTTTCTTATCCCTCCCATTACAGTTCACTAATAATGGCAGGCCATAAAATTGTAGATCAGGTATACAAGTCTTGTGGATACATACCGATGATGCCGGAAGAATATGAAGTCTCTCTGGTTGTGGAAAGTGACTACTCGTCTGCCTTTAAATTCTGGATCTTGGGGAAAAAGTGACTGTATTAACCTACCAAAGAAAATAATCGACGAATTGAGAGTTGAAGGAAAGGTCCCAGTCCATACTCCATACTCTTCGTTACTTGAATTATAAACGTATAAAAAAAAAATAAATAAAAAGCAAAAGCCAAGTATAAAAGTAATTATTAGTAAAACAGGAAAGTTAGCCTACTGGTTATTCTTCCCTCCTTTACAATGAGACTTACAAAAAGCTAAGCTAGCATTTAATTTTAATTTAAATCAGGCAGTGTAAGAAGTTTGAAGGAAACAGAGTCAGTTAAGCACTATGTCCAACATATGGAGCACTGAATCAGAGAAAACAGCAACCTTCCAATTCGATGCCCTAGGCGTGTTGTGAAGTTATTTAAAACTAGCTCAGGCTTGTGACTGGTTGGATTTCCATGACCCTGCAAGTTAAAAAAAATGGGCAGGAAAATTTCACTTCGTACAAAAGATAAATAATTTAATTTTTCTTCTTTCAGATGCAAAAGAATTTATACGTGTTAAGAAAATATAACAACAAATGTAGATAAAAATTTTCACTTGACCAACATAAGAAGCCAAATTAATCCAAAAAGAGAAACAACTTCATCTACCAAGCTTATATGTTAAGATGATGTGAATTCCTGTAACAACTGCAACGAAATAACTGTAAGCTGAAGAAAACAGATCTTAGGCTCTTACCCAAATAGTGCCAAGTTCACCCCAGAATGGCAACACAAGTCACAGAATAAATGATATAAATAACCAAGTTCATTATGAGCATCCTTTGATCAAATCAGTCACGGTATTTTCCTTCACCCCCTATTATTATTACTATCTATCATCATAACTTACAAAAGTAAAATATATAACAACATCATTTGGAATTCAAAGACACAATGCAGCACAGGTTATTAATCAAACAGCAAATAACAAACCTTAATATCCTTGCGCAAAATAAGCCTTGAAAGCTTGAAATGAGCAGTAGGCCCGTCAGGTAAGCCAATGATTAACAGAGCATCTACAATTCAGAGAAATGAAAAATCACTGCAAGTAATGACATTGAATCCCTAAAACTAAGACAAAAGGCACAAATGTGCAAATGATGATAAATTGTTCCCAATGCACTTTATTATGTGCGTGCGCGCACAGGAACTCCGGCAAAAGACATCAAATACCTGGTTCCCTGCGATTCGTGTGAACAACTATAATAGAGGTGAAGTCCTTCTTATTTGCATATTCTACAATCTGCAATTGAAATTGAAATTAACATTCAAACAGATAAAGCTCTATGTTTCTCATTAACAAGGAAAACTGAGACAAGAACCTTCTTTAAATCATAGGTCCCTCTCTTGTAGTAATGTGCATTAGGTATCACCGAAAGTAAATCCGATATAAAAGCAGGGCCCCTCTGCAGATCACCATATTCCAATTAAAAGTAAGAACATGATAGCAAAAAATATAAGATACAGAATTTCCTTACTTCAACGCTGCTCCGAGAAGGCAGGAAAACATACAAATATCTAAGGGGTGTAAACCCTAAGCTTGCGCTTAATATAATAAACAAAGGCACTAATCAAAACATACCGTAGAATTGAAACGACAAGTGGTGATTAATATCTTCGAAGTATGTTCTCGTTTTAAAATTGCACTGAATTCATCACAATCATTTCCAGCAAATAGCTGCAAGCAAATGAACAATTTTAACAAATGAGTCAATTAAATAGCTTTCCTACTAGAAATGGACAATATGAACATGGAAATTAAATAAAAAAATTCCAAAAGACGTCCAGCTCTTTTCCTTGCAAAGCCAAAATTTGCCGTTAGCAGCCAAATTTTATTTTCCTTATCTCTCATCCAGTGTCTGATTCATATAACCAGCCAAATCAATGAGTCACCGAACTTAACCCATCATCCTTTAGGGGGAAAACAACAAAATAGCCCAAGTTTCTTAAATTATTATGCCATTTTCTAGTAAATACCATTTTTCCTGCCATTGTCCCCAAGGTGACCAAGGAATACCGCTATAGTTGGAGATGGCATTATTCACCACTTCTCGGTGTACAAGTATAAATACACGAAATTTGAAGATAATCCCAAGTACATGGACATCAAAACCTAGATGTAGATTATAGTATCATATAATCCGCTTAAAATAAAACCAACTAGTTTTAGTTAGGTAAAGGCATTTAGAAAAGTATACAGAAATTAGTTAACAGCGAGAAGAAGGGAATAGTAACAAGCAAAGTTAGAAAGTAGAAAGAAGACCTCTTCATCATCAGGCTTACAAACAGTCTCATCGGCTTCCCGAGTGTTCTCAATTGTACGAGGCACCTTCTTCTCCGGCGGCTGCAGGAATCCAAATAAAGCAAAACGATCATAACTTATTACACACAACGAATTCACACTATACATACTACAATGCCCACCCTCAAAATGGGGCCAAAATAAAAACTTCGAGAGAATAAAGAACCTCCTCTCCTAGCTCGAGAGCTCTTTTCTCCGCAGCCTCTCGAGCCTTAGCCTTCTTCCGCTTCTCAAGTTTCTTTTGGTGTTTGAGCTTCGCGTGCACCTCCGACCTCTTCTCCTTGTTCTTGATCATCGACGGAAGCACTTCCATCTTTGTTTTCTCGTTGCTCTTAGCCCCTTCACCATCGTCAGGCAAAGATGATTCACCGCCCTCCCCGTTGCTCTTTTTCCTCTTACCACCCATCGGTCACTGGGATGCGGAAATTGCTGACAATTGGGGAAGAGGCAAAAACTCTAAAAACGCTAACTAAAGGACCCGAACCTTACGGCCCAAGCGGCTAAAGCAAGGGATTAGAGCGAATAAAGCGAAAGAAATCTTAATAAGCAGATAAATGGAAAACGACGAGCAATGGGTTTCCTTTTCTTTCAAAGTAGATTCGCTGGGCTTGACGAAGGGGGAGGAGGAAAGGCAGTGGCCGTTTGATAGTTAGGGTTTGAGGACGAAGACAGGTTTTTTTTTTTTGGAGAATTACAATTAGGTCCATTTAAAGAAATTAAATACAAAAATGTCTCTTGAAATTATGAAATTATTCTAAAGTCTCAAGGGACCTTTTTGTAATAAATTTTATTTGTTTAATTACCAAATTACCCTTCTTGTTTTTTTTTAAGTTTGCATTGACAACTGAAAGAGCAGTGATTGACAACTTAGGATGCAAGGATTAACAACTATCGCGGCTGGTTTGACAACACATTTTTTCAGCATATCACATTATAAGTTGTCAAACCAGCCGTGATAGTTGTCAATCATTGCACCCGAAATTGTCAACTACCGCTCTTTCAATTGTTAATGCAAACTTAAAAAAAGAAGAAGGATAATTTGGTAATTAAACAAATAAAATTTATTGCAAAAAAGTTTCTTGAGACTTTAAAATAATTTTATGATTTCAATGGACCTTTGTGCATTTAATTTATTTAGATGGGACCTAATTGCAATTTTCTCTTTTTTTTGGGGGAATTAGTTTAACCTTTTTTTTAAAAAAAATCAGAACGAAGACAGATTTAATTAATTAAAGGGTCATATAAGTTTCTCTTTAAAAAATTATACTCCTCCGGTCCTAATTATAAGACCCAATTGACTTATTTGAGGAGATTAAGGAAGTAAGTTAAGTTGGTTATTTATAATAAATAAGTATTGTCATTCCTAAAATATCCTTGCTAATTAAGTATATTGGCTAAAACTATCATTATTAAAAGGATTATCTTGGAAAAAAAAGCATAAATATAAGAGACAAAATGGATTGGGTCTTATAATTAGGACCAAATAAAAAGTCAAATTGAGTCTTATAATAAGGACCGGAGGAGTAACAAATATCATTAAAAAAAATTACACTATCTCGGTATCACTCACAGAAACAACTAGTTAAGATATTGAACTAGTAAAGTCTTTTGAAGTGTTTTTTTTTTTAAAAAAAAAAAACTTGTCACATTACAAATAAACCAGTGACAGCATAGCCATGCTCTAATCACTTCTCTTTATGTGATTAGAAAAGAAATTCCAATCACTATTAAAAGTCAAAATTTAAATTTCTTTCATTTAAGGAATTACTTGATTGAAGATGAATGGAGATATCTTTTAAATAAAACTTAATTACTTCTACTTACATAGTGCTTAATATGCTTCGTTTTCTAATTAAATTAGAATATTTTTTGGCCCTACAATTAAATAAGAACTTGCGGATTATAAATTTTAGGACTAAAAATGTTAAAATCGAATACATGCATCAATTTAATAGGAAAAAAAAGTATTGAGTCTATTTTAAGTTACCTAATTTTCCTCCGTTAAGTACACAGGCATGCACCAAAAAACAATGATCTGCTGTAGTATGTATTACACCCAAGGCCCACTGCTCAAAGCATCGACACACAAAATTCCAAAGGCAGTGTTATTAAATACATTATTTTTCTCACCAAAAAAAATAAATTATTTCTATATTGAGGTGTATACGGGAAGTTAATCACATAGCATGCAATACAGTCATTCCCCACCTGTGTATCAAAAAAAAAAAAGAAAAAAGAAAAATTCCCCACCAACTTCTGTTCCTTTCATGTATTCTTGAACTTCTGCAATTGCTTCTGTCTGTTGGAGAGGTGTGACATACAGAAAACTTCTAGGTGTAAAATTTAATCAGACAAGGACTCGTGCCATATTTTCTATCCGACTTCCAAGATAATGTTATAGATTTTCAAGAACCGTGAACCGACATGATGTTTTCTCCTACGTCTACCTGTTACAAGAAAAACCAAGATAAACAGAGTTACAGTACATAGCATGAAAAACAATATATGACGTAACATGGACACTCTAGGAGTCAAGAATGGAAAGCAGACTTTGTCAATTCCTGGGGTCGAGAATGAAAAGAAGCATTGAAGTTATAAAGTCGCCAATGCAGAGTTAGAATTTCGGATCCTTGTTTATAGACATTGGTTCCTAAGTTGATTACGCAGCAGAGTTAGAATCAGAATCCAAGTATTCACTTCTTACCCTAAAATTTTAATGCGAAGCAGAAGGGAAACAGAAGAAATATACTCATAGCAGATCACTAGGATACTCAGTTACTGACACCAACTCTGCAGCAGTTGCTCTCTGTTGGTATAGCATTCGATACCCTTTACTATTTTAATACATGAATGACTTCTATTTCATATTTAGCATCATATCGGTCCTTAACATTTGGTTAGAAAGGTGAATCCAACATCATTTTTACAACAGTTTAGCATTTCCAGGTGTGAAAGCAAAATGAAAGTAGTGGTTGTCAAATTGATGCTGTATTCATCCCCTTATCCCCTTGTCTTGAACTAAATCATCATAATTTTCATATTTGATGATGTCCCTAAAATTCTTTTATTTTTGTAATTAAGGTCTTTCCTCATCTATTCTATCTAGTTTGTTACACAACCTGGCTTATCCTAAGGAATACAAATTACCAGTTCTTCTGCTATCATTTACTCGTATGCAAAGAATGAAGTATACACGGAAGAGCATTACAGTCATGTTCAGCAGATCTATCTTTAACTCGAGAGATCAAGAACCTATTAAGTTTTTATCATAAAGAAAGAACAAGCAAAGAAGTTACGGGTATCACTGGGTTGTCTTACCTGTGACCAAAGCTCTTGCTCCATAAGAGCTGAGAATCAATGGTAGTTAGAGATTGATCATCAAGGCGCTTCCATGTTTTGATGGACTTGACATCTCCCCAACTGCCCTTCACTCTTCTATCCAAACTAACAACCACCACTCTTGCTCTCCTTGACCATCCAGCCTTTCCATAAGCATGATATCCAAATCCCCCACCATAGCAGAGCTTTATACCTCGTAGCTTACCACAGAAGTCATTGACATGATCATGGCCAGTGAAAACTGCCTTGACATCTCCTGTTTCAACCAAGGTTGTGAAGAAGCCAGAATTCACAGAAGCCGAACCAATGCTCTCCTGTTTCACACCTGTGATGTCTGATGGGTGGAAACTAGCATATTCTGGTAAAGGAATGTGAAAGTATGCAAGACCGGGAGCAGCTGTTTTCTGAGGCACAGGTCCATCCTTGTATGCTCTCTGAAAAATTAAGATAATAATCTATCAGAGATTTTCATCAAGCAAAAGAACTGAAATCAGTTGTATCTTCAGTAGAAAACTGAAAATCCACACAAATTAACATATCTAAGCAGCTATTAAATAAAAAGAGAAACAAGATGGATAGAATAATATCTTAAAATATATGGACCAGATCGAACAGCACCTGAAGCCTTGCAGACGTTCTTTGGTACCAAAGTTGCTGTGAGGGTTTGATCCAACCATAGCCAGAGATTAAAGATGGGACGGTGGAGTAATCTCCACTGTCAAGAAAGTAAAGATTAAGAACTGACTTGTTGCCAAGTTCAGAGTTCTCAACCCCAAGGACCTCCAAGTTATAGTTTCCAAAACCATCAATGAAGTTTACTTCTGGGGGGTTGACTTTAGACAGTGTGTTTTTCAACCCAACAATATGCTTCATCACCCCTTCTCTAGAGAGCGATCCTTCCTGGTCATGGTTTCCCAAAACAGCAACCCAAGGTATTTTAGATTCAATTGCAGGAGCAAATGCCGCATCCATTGATTTCGCAGGATCGTCGGCATCTTTTCCAAAGATATTATCCCCTGTGGACCAGAATTCATGCATAATTAGTTAGCTTGACCAAACAAACTAAGCCCCTTGCTCAGAGGTGCAATAGAAGTCTAAAAATCGTTTTATCGCCATCCTCTCCCCTTTTATATATTATCCCAAATACAAGTAATCGCCTGTTTAACACGTCGTAGTGGGATGGACCAAATTAAAAACTTGGGCGCAGTTTATAGAGTGATTTAAAGTAAGAAGTGAATATCAGAATACAGACAAAAAACAAAAGTAAAAAATAACTCAAATTAGAAACAGGATAACGAATAAATACCTGTAAAAACAATTAAATCGGGTTTCTCAGCAAGGATCATCCTTCGAATGAAAGCGGTGGTGTTCAGGTCAGAACAAGAAGCATACTGAGAATGAAGGACATCCAAGCAATGCGTACTTTTTCCGTTTGCGTAGTGCATGTCCGCCACCTGCAATATCTTGAATTCGCCATTATTTCCGAACCGCAAATTCACTGCGGAAACGCAAATCGGAAGTAAACAGACGGCGCAGAGTATCATCGCGATCATGCAGTTGAAACCCGTTCCCTTCCTCACCCTCTTGCCACCATAGGAATTGCTATTTCGATTATCACACATCATAGCTATTTCTGAAAATTTGGGAGCATCAACCAAAAATTTGGCTAATCCCGCTGGGAGTTGAATCTGTGTAGGGAATCTAATCAACTATAAATAGCAACTCAGTCTAATAGTTGATTTCTCCGACTGGAGTCAAAATAGAGCCATAACAAGCTATGTGAGAGAGCGAGAAAACAAGAGCGTGTTTGGGTCTCCGTCCAGAGTCAGAAACGCGCTTGGAAAACGTGTTTGGTATAACTTCTGTGGAAATGAACTTTTTGGTCCTAACGAGGGGTCCTAGTGAAACTATTTTTATGTTACTTTCAGAGAAAAAGCTCCTTCCCGCCGCTGCAGAGGGAGAAGATGTACAGGAGAGAAAAAGACAAAAAAAACCCTTAATTTGGGATCTATCTTTGTACTATAAAAAATAAAAAGATAGAATTTCTCTGAAAAAACCCCAATAATTTAATTAATTTAATTTATTACTTTTTAAAAAATTTATCAAATTTTACGTGTATGATATGGGAAAAATTGCAAATAAAAGACTCCTAATATATAAATTATGATTTAAAACCTTTAATTTGAAAAAAATAAAACAAAAATCCGTTTCATATTACAAATATAAAATCTTAGTGAAATGTCTTAAATGCTCCTCAACCAAATTGTGATTTGGTCTACTGAAGTTGTCATTAGCTAAAATAAACTTGTCATTTTTTATAATCAACTTGTTATTTGACAGACTCTCAGCCAAATAGTGATTTAGTCTACTGAAGTAAACTTGTTATTTCTCACAGTCAACTTGTCATTTGGCTGAGGGGCATTTCAGACATTGCATAAAGATTCCATAGGTACAATGTGAGACCGGGTCTTTATTTTTTATTTGTCAAATTAAGGGTCCCAAATCACAATTTCATATATTAGGAGGTCTCTTTTGGCAATTTTTCCTATGATATATTACCTTAGCTCCTTAATATAAGATTTATGATCTCTCTAAAATACTTATGTATATTCTTAATCTTTTTAAATTAGTTAACTGAGTCTTATATAAAAATTTATGTCCTTTTCGGTTATTTTATATCTAAACTTACTTTTTTATTATCTATCCAAATAAGTTTTAACTTTTCAAACTAACTTTTTAGAAATGTTAATCCAAACATAAATTATATTACACTAACTAACTTTTATCTTAATTGACTTTTGCAAAAAGTCAGATGAAATAAAAGTCAGTTTTGCCATTATTAATCCAAACACACCCTAATTGGGGTTCAAGAACACCAACGAGAATCAGCACCGTGCTTTTACCATATATATAAAAAAAAAGCTTTTTAAAAGTGATTATTGAACAATTCAAACACCTCTTAAATAAATTTTAAAAAAAAGGATTTTTTGAACTAGTAGTTGAAAGTTTAATTAAAAAAGAAAAAGAATTAAACAAAAGAATAAATTAATCAGAATATACTACCTTCGGTCCTAATTATAAAAACTAGTTGACCTATTTGAGAAGATTAAAGAAATAAATTAAGTTAGTTATTTGTAATAAATAGATGTTACCTTTTTTAAAATATCTTTACTAATCAAGTGTTGGCTAGAACTATCATTATTAGAATAACTATCTTGGAAAAAATGCATAAATATTAGAGACAAAATAAATTAGGGTATTATATATAGGATCAAAATAAAAGTCAAACGAGGTCTTATATTAAGAACCGAAGGTAGTATAATGAAAATGTAATCAACTATAAGTTTCTCTCCTAAAATATAATCAACTTGGTCCAAATTAAAATTCAATTCTTTTGATTGAAATTCCTTAAAAAATGTTAAATGAAAATTCTTGACAGCATTCTAATTCCCCCCTCAAATTCTAAGCTCTAATCACTTGGTTTGTGGTGTTTTAATATTTCAAGAAAAACAGTAAAATATATTTACTCTAAATATAAAAAGATAGAATTTTACACATGCCTGGTAAAGAGAGGAATAGATGAATTATGAAATTTGAAATTTCAAAATCATACTTATACATGGGAATCTCAACTCAAAGTATTCATTAGAAGAATTGGACTTTCATTATATACATAGGATTTAAACTAATAACTAATCACAAGAGAAATTGGAATTCCATGGCTGCAAAGGAGAGGAATGCGTCACCAAACAGGAGAGAAGAGGGGATATAGCTGCTGAACTGAGAAGAACTGAAGAAGAAAAGGAATTTGCGCTGCTGCAGATGGACCTTCACTCGTGTTCTTTTCTTTTGCGGCTTCCCTAGCGGCCCTTGTTCTTTTTACCTTTTCCCCGGCTTCACTTCCCAACTTGATATTCTTGATATTAATCCTCATTCTTTTTTACAAGAAATGATCTTTAAATTTATCACAGAATAAAATTAATAAGGTTATTGGTCTGATTCATATCCCTAAATTTACAAGGACAATAAAATATATTCAACTGATATTCTATAATTTAACATTAACCATAAAAATTAATATTATTGAAGTTATTTACTTTTTAAACTATGAACCTTTAATCTACTCCCTCCGTTCCTTATTATAAGAGACATTTGATGTTTATAGCATGTTCCTAAATATAAGAGACACTTAAAAGTTGTCTCTACTTTTTTGTGTTGATTTCCTATTTTACCCATATTTATTGTCTCCAACTCACACTCTCTCTCCTTTCCACTTCTCTTTCTTTTAAGAATTTACTATTGTTCTCTTTCATGCTCTCTCTCCTTATTAATGAGGGCATTTTTGGAAAAAAAATTATACTTTTTACATATTAATTGTTCTTAACTAATTTTAACTGTTTTTTTGATCAACGTAATTCGGTTATTCGTCTCTTATAATAAGGAACGGAGGGAGTAGTATTTTGGAAGGTTTAAGTCATTTATTCACATTAATTTACTCCTTTATCTGGTGCAAAGTGTCATTCGCCAAGTTCTATTTAGGGGGGTCGATTTGATTTGAAAGTTGAAACGTCTTCCTCAAAATCAACACAAAAATTAACCTTCCCACCACATAAGCATGAAGATTTGATTCATATCACACTAATTTATACATGGATTTGCGCAGACCAATAATCCCACCAAATTAACATAACAGAACTATATTTGCAAAGAGTTCAAAGATACCAACAATATCCTTCTTGTACAAACAATGAACAAACCACACAGCACCACCAAGAAGGGACAAGAAAAAGCATCAAGCATTCTTATTTTTGCCGCCCAAAGGATCAGAAGCCTTAAACCAAGGAACCCATATTGAGGTTGTCTTCTGGTACCTCCTATAAGCCTCTGCTCTGTACTTTTGTCTCAACATTCTATCTTCCACAAGCTTAGTCACATAAGCCAAACACAAGGTATTACCTATTGTTCCCATGAAGGTCCATCCATGACCTATGTTCCAAGCATATAAAGCTAGGCCCCACCACCACAGTTGTTCTCCAAAGTAGTTTGGATGCCTTGAGTAATACCACAAGCCCTTGTCCAGAACAGGAACTATGGGTTTTCCAATATGTTTAAGGTTGTTGTTTCTTGTTACAAAATTATGAAGTTGTGTATCAGCAAGGTATGCTATGAGAATGCCAGATGAACACAACACAGTGGCCACCAAGTCCATGATGCTCAGAGGCTGATTCACTGAGTGGATAGCATAGAATGGAAGAGACAGTGCAACAAGAAGCACCTGCAAAAGTGAGACATTGGTAAGGGAGAAAATAAGTACCTTAATAGGATCTTGTTATTACCTTTTTCTTACTTAAGGTTGAGAAAATGAGAAGATTAAGCTCATGACCATTTGGGTAATAGAAAATATTGAGTTTAGATTGCAATTTTTTTTCATGTTTGTAAAAACTTTCATAGGAATTGATCCGTTTGAGATTAGGGACGAAGAACATTTTGTCTATAGGAAATATTACGGAAAAAAATCCGTTTAGAGTTTGGAGGACTGAGAACAAATCATTTATGGCATGTTTTGAAACACATCCATTATGATCAAAATCATATTTGTGTAAAAACAACTACTTTTTGTTGAAACGTAGATTTACCATGTTTTAGACGTGTTTTCGAATACATTTTTTTTTTATCATAATTAGCTTCTAATATTTATTTTAAACAAAGCTTATAGGAGTGATATATAGTGTCAAAGTTGAAATAATAAATTTTATGTATGAAAAACATGAGTATTAAAAGATTTTTGGTAATCTTAATTAGTTTAGGCAGATGAGTTATAGCATTGAAGCAAAAATTGAAGGAAGCACTCAATATTAAAAAAAAAAAAGGTAAAAACCTGCTGAGAGAAGTAGACAGTGAAGAATGAAATCCACCACCAATGCTTGCCATAACAAAGACTCATATTGGTGAACCTCCAATCCTGTCTGGCACCCCATTGCCAGTTTTCTCGCCTCAAATAGTTATGGCTCAGCCTAACACTCCAAACCCAACTCAACAATATCACAATCCTTGATCTCCACCAATTACACTCTCCCCAAGGGTGACTTGCATAGTAATGAACCAGCATCACAGGAATTACCGTCCAATACAGGTCAATCATCTGCACCAAACAAAACACTCACCTTCAAAACAAAACCCAGAAACTATCTACTCAATCTAAGTTATATATTCATATGTTTGAATGAAAACGTACCCAGTGGCTGCACTGAATCAGGCCGATGACCCAGAAGAGAAGAGTGACGTTGAGGAACAAGAGTGCATTGGGAAGCAAGAGAGGGTGGTGATGGCACCATGTCCAGAGGTTAGAGTCAGTGTCAAGTATTGCAGAGTCATAGTAGTGGTTGAGGAAGGAGAGATAGAAGAGTATGGAGGGGAGAGGAACGAGGAATGCTATTGCAGCGTTCTTCAGATTCCTATCCATATTATTGATGCTTGATTTTCGATTCCTATGGTTTGGTGTACTCAAGGTTGTTATGTTCTTTCCCTTTTTATAGCGTCTTGAAAAGCAAAAGGAGAAAACCTGAAACCCCTCGAATGATAGGTGTCAATGGAGGGAAATTCATAGGACTCTCACTTTCTGCTTGTGGTTCCCACTTCAAATTAAAAGATACCAGTATCGGGTTGATAAAGCTGACCGGAGGAGTATTGTAATGATGTTTGCAACCTATAATGGAGTGAGCATGTGGCTAATAACATACCAATTGAAATCAGCTCACATGACAACTCAATTATGCATAGCTTTGGTCCCCCATATCATCCATGAAGCTTAAGCGTCGAAATCCCCGCAATATCCGAAGACAGAAAAGAAAGCAAGGGAGATGGTAACTCCCACGTAGGATTGGGTTGGAGGAGGGACCATAATTGTCATCAATGGCTGCTCCACTCTGCTTTCTGCTCTCAGCGGCATTAAACTATTATGCATGCTCCTTCAATAACAGAGAGCACTAGCCACTGTATTTTCTTATTCCTCTACTTCCAATTGTAGACAGGCTGAAATGGCTTTTTCAGCATTTAACTTGCACAATCTGTTATTAGCACTATACATTTCAAAACACTATTGTTCACTGTATACGTAGAATGTTCCAACGATTGATTTTCTGGAGTTTCTGAGTTTGCTTGTCATTGAAAGTTCGTAACTGTCTTTTTGAGAAAATGTGTTTTCAACAACAAATTGTACGTAAGAGGACGAGAAGATATTGCTGAAAGAAAAACACCAAATGCAAATATTTCATTTACATACACATCAACAATGTACCAAGGGGTGTTTGCGGTACAAGAAATTCCCACTGGTTTGGACCACTGGGACTGGCTCACGGCTCATAAAATATCGACGAATATATGTATGACCTCCACTAAATTTTTGTGAGTTGAAATATGACCTCAATTTCCGATTACAAAAATTTTTTAAAGTTGGGACATCAATCTAAGTTTACAGTAAATATCCAATGTCGATATTAACGAATCTTAATGTGGAACAGATGCGAGAAACCTCATCTCAAGTGTTTGCCTGAACCAACATCACCACCCTCTCTGTAGGGGCTAACTCAAAGTTCAGGAGTATATGCTAATTGGGACTGAGACAAGCAGAGGATGTATAAATGCCATCCTCGTCATATCCAGATTCGATTCGTCTCCTGTAACACCCTTCTTTTCGGGGGCCAGACATCCGCAATATCATCTACATATGTGCCATCTGTTATGCATCTCGCGAAACCTGACACAAGAACCCCACAACTATGCATAATGGAAACGCCATGGTAACAGTACAGATCTTCTGAAAGTAAAATTGTTTCAACTGTGGCTTCTTGTTTTTATCTTCGTGTAAACCTCTATCAGATTGCCGCCAGTGTGCGTGCGTGTAGGGGGGGTGGTTACCACCCCTCAAAATCTACACATACAGGAATCTTTTATATTTTAACGATTAACGATTGACAAATTACATAGATTGATACACACAAGAATCTTTTATATTAGCTGTCGTATTTCTTGATCTTAATTCAGTTTAAACATATGATGAATCAATTGTTTCTGATAATGTAAGGATGCGTCACTTGTAAGTATAGGTGCATGGCACGGATTGAGAAAATACCTTGTAACACGCAAAAATCTCAGAAAGATGCTATATATCCGTAAAAAATTTAGAGCAGTACAAATACAGGGTACCAATAGTAGAACGCACCTAATTATTAGTATCCCTACTCTGATAGCAACACCAGGATCAGACATCGTTAATAACAATAATATATGCCTCAATATTTCCAAAATTAGACACCACAAAACTTTCCGAGGACCATGGCATCAATAGGCATCTTGAGATCCCAGATAGAGATTAATTTAAGAATATCGACGCAAAAGCACAAGGCATCGACCGCATGGCTCTATACAGAGGGGTATCCTTTACGGAGAGTTTAACTATTCCTGCTCCCACCCCACAAACCCACCACGAAAAAAAAGAGTATATGTTGAGTCATTATTTTCTTTAAAGCACCATGCAGAACCTGGATGACCGGGTTGTATCCAGAATCATTGATTGTCTCGTTGATGCTCATCAGGTCCACCGTCCTCCCCATCCCCATAAGTAACCCACGGTAGCATTGACTCAAACAGGACAGCCAATGCACTCCTGTCACTAACATCGCGATGAACATGGCCATTCCCGTGCAAATTAACAATCTCATTCTCATTCTGCTCAACCTCTCGCATCCTTGGAGCGCCCATAAAATTTTGCAGATTCTCTTGTGGAATTGAGGCCACCGAGTCAGAAAAATCAGAAACCAACAAATGTCCATACCTAACAAAATAGCAGGTTTCAATTTAATAAGTAAAAAACCAAGTGATGGAAAAACAGCTGCTCGCACATCACACATAAGTTGATTGAAGTTCTTTTAAGGGGAAAACATGATCCCATCATTTCTTTTACCACCGATGAATCAAAAGCCCAGGTTTCAAACTTATTAACTACAGTCATATCACATTATTACTAATCATTTATCTGCTCATCACTTTTGCATTCTCAATCATTAGCACAATAGCTAGCTGTTATGATCCCGTGTTTGCAAGGGCAACACCTCATGTAAACTAGATTCACTCTGAAGCATATGCATCATTCAGGATAATCCTATTGGTAGAAAAGAATAGACGCACTTCAGACAAGCAGTATCTAGACTTAGATATGATTTTGAAGTGCTGCAAGTTCTAGTTCATAGGTTACAATTAATCAACCATCAAAATGTTATTCCAAACAAGCCAACCTCAGAACATAAGAAATTCAAAACTGGCCTAAAATTAAGTTCAGATGGTTGTAAACATTATTGTAAACCTGATGTTTCTTTAAATTGAGATAACATGAATAAATTTAGCCAAAGCAAACGAAATTCACTTACTCATTTTTCTCAGCTGAGAATGCTTCTTTTCTGACACAAGCCCAATCCTTTACTTCACTTCTATCATTTTCTATAGTTTCCAGGACTAGTTGGGCAGCATCGCTGAGCAATTTCTGCAGATTTGGAAGCCTCCATATAAGATAATTTCTTTCTACATATATATTTATCAAGTGATCTTGAGATGGAATTCCTATTTGATCTGATCGGAAAAAGGCATGCTTGAGAATATTTGTCCACACGCGATCTTTCAAAGGTACTTTCGCCACTAGCTTCTTTATAACAGAGGGATGAAGCATCAATGCTTGTTTCATAAGATCAGTTGAAGAGGCCTTTTTAGCATCCCTACAAGCATCTTCTGACACCTCTTTTTCAAGGTTTTCAAGGTAAAACCGGCAAACAGCAAGGGAATACGAGAAATTTGGATATAACCAGATGGAATTATCACTTTTATAATCTTCAGAAAACTTTGCCAGCCATGCATACTCCTCAGCCCTTAAAGCAAAGTAGTCAATGCAGAAAATTGCCCCCATGGGATCATCAGAATCCAGTGAAAGCAGCAATTTACAGACCTCTAAAGCAGATCGATGACAGCCCCGCCTGTCCAAGTTCTTCATGTGAGTGAAAAGAGCTGTGAACATTGGTTTGTTAGTTTCATGGCTGAATTTCAATTGACAATTGCCCTGCAGCGGAGTGAACATGGGATGCCATGCGCACTCAAGTGCATATAGACATTTGGCTATAGCATCTGCAGAAGTCTGCTGCTCACCCACAACCTTGAAATACTCTGCCATTGTTAAAAGTGAATCTAGATGGTAAGGATGGTACAATAATATGCTAGCTAGACCATTTAAGTCGTTAATTGCTTTGGCAGCTTCAAATGCCTTCTGAGCTTGAGAATATGATGATGCGTGTTCATATCTACATAACGGACCAAATCAAAATCATGAAAATTAAATAGAAGTTAAGAGGGCTATAGAAATACACAACTCTCATTGTTGTTTTTGTTGTCTATTACGAGCACATAAATTTAATCATAAAGTATTGAACAAGAAATCAAACTACAAAAATTAAAAGGGCTCTGGCATGTATAAAGAACACAATCACAAACCAGACCTATATCCCACTCTCCACTTCTGTTTCCAAGAGGGGATTGCTGAGGGGGGAAAGTCCCCACAAAAGGGAGCCAAAAATAAAATAAAATAAAGAATAACTAGCAATTTAGAGTTGTTCAGCCAATATTTCTGATTGGTTAATTTTATAGGATGCTGCTATTAAGTCAAAATGTATACGGGCATATAACCATATGGGACGGGGCAGACAGGGCAGAAAAAAAGGGCAGGTCAATATGATCAATCGACTCAATAAGAATTATCCTTACCTAAAGTAGTTATATCCATCCTTTGTTTCCAAAAATTCCATGGACAAAGAACCATCCCAGCGGGGCCAATGATCAGCTGGATGGACTAGAACAGTCTTTCTGAGATTATAGTGCCCACGCCTCACCCCTCGAATTGGCCTAGAACTGCTAGCTTGATTACTACTCTCGAATGATTTCACTACCTTGGAACCAAATATTCGTTTGAGCTCATTTTCAGCATTCAAATGTTTAGGATCCACTTGTAATATCGAGAATGACTGCTGCTTGACAGTGTTATACTGGCCTTTGGCGTTTGCTACTCTGTCCTCTGTAGAGACATGTTGTTCAGCAGAAGAATTGTCATCTAGTGATAAATTCTCTATAATTTGGTCCAAATCTTTTTCACCTCTTTCTTTACTTAATAAAGAATTGTCCTTGTTTTTCTTCTTTTTCTTCTTCTTTGATTTTAGATTAGATGTCGACGCTACAGCAGTATATTTCGATGAAGGCGACTCCTCTTTATCATCAAATCGCCTCAATCTTTCATTGGTGGATGTCAGTTCACTTTCCTGCATACAAAAACACCATTTAACTACTGAAAGAACAAAAATTCAAATGTCTAATGAGAAGAATCCCGACCTTCAACAAAGAGCAACAGTCATACAAACTTTATGTCAAATATGAATATAAATTAGAGAACAATCATCACCTCAATGGGTCATTCCAGATATATTCCCGAATACCAAAGCCAAGTTAGAATTTTTCTTATTTTTCTCTGGACAAGAAGTGAGATTATATGGTTTGATAGACTGCATAACATATTCGAGATGAAAATAAAGAAAAATAGACTATAAACACTGGAATTGAAACTTACTAATCCAAGCACTTTCTTCTCAGTAAAAATATCAAAGAGTATCCAATTCAGAAATTATATGACAAAAACTAATGTCACAAGCATCCAAAAATTTGAATCAAACTCAGCATTACCCCCAGACAAAAACCCGAAAAGATAAACAAAATAGCTTTGTCATTGATATAAAGCTAGCTAGGGATCCATAATTAAACCTGGTCCGGTTCAGAATCGTCGTCATTAAGGAGGTCGAAGGGATTGATTGAAGAACGAGATACGGATTCTGGGGACGCCGATTCTTCTCCTTGAAGCTGATTTTCTTCTTCGTCCTCCTCCAGCTTCACTTCCAGGGGACGGTGTTGTTCATTTAGAACTCTTTTAATCAACCTAGCGGACATCGTTTCCTTGTCTCCCAAGTGAATCTAGCTATCAGATATAGGCGGGGGAAAAACAGTGCTTTTCTCAATCGAAGGAACAATCACAGGCAACCCCTCGCAGGCGTTTTCCTGCAGCTCAGCTTAACCCCCTCTGACGATCGATCGTCGCTTCGTTGGTCGTTCCCAGAGCAAGTGGCCTCACGCAGGAAGGCACAAAAGGCCCAATTTCACAATCTTGGAATTGATGGGCCATAGCTTTTAGCCCACTTGTTTTGGGCCTAAAGCTTTAAGCCCACTTTGTATAGACAGAATTGGGCCTAATCATTGTTTTGGGCCTTCCACCTTTTCTTCCCTTCCCAGGATCCTTAATCTAATTTTCCAAAGCCTTTTCTTATATTTTTGGCAGCCGAAGCTTTTTATTTCCTTTCTTGGTATTACTCATTTTAAAATATAAATTCGATTCGATTCTTGTACCAAATATATATATATATATTTTCGATTAAGATCTAACTGCTGCAAAATAAAAACAAGTAACGGCCACTGCACACGTTAAAACGGATTATGTAATTATGTGTATATAATACAAAAAATAGCTGACTTTATATAGGGTTCAAGGAATTTGTCGATTGATGAGGAATCAATGGTTAATAAAACCTTATTCTTCTTTCATTTTCCCCCCTTATTCTCAAATCAAACCTAAAAGCTGGCGCTTTTACCAAGTCAGCCAATGTTTATTTTGATATATCAGCAGCCAAGACAATTTCTGGTGATCTTCCTTTTCATGGAATTAAATGTTTATATTCTCATTCCAAGTCCATTAATAACTGAAGTCAATAGAAGACTATGGAGACAATCCAAGTATACGTTGGAAGTGCCGTGCAAACTTGTGGGATGACCAAGTCAATGGACCCGTGGGCAGTTTCAAGTAGGAATTTGAGCCGGAAGTATTTATATTAAAAATATTTAAAAAAAAGACCAAATTTTTTTTCCTTTAAAAAAGGCCCTATTCCATGGGATTGAGAAAAATCGACGAACCAGCTACTCCATTCAATAATCAAGGAAAAAAAACAACTTATGAGAGCAAATGTAAGGATTAACTGCTATAATCGATAAATCATAAGTAAATGGTAATAAATGATTTTAATTTTACATCATACATTGATCATATCTGGGGCAGAGTAAACGCGCGCGCGCGCGCACGTACACGATCAAAATTGTCATTTCATCTATGGTTCAATGGCTTGCTTCTGAGCATCAACATACTATATCTATCCTATTGCAAGTTAAAACAGAATTACAGTTACACAAATACGTGACTTGAAGACAAAACAAAGAATTACAAAGACTTGCATAGAGACCGTTGCGCCAAAAAGATGAGCTCCTGTGAATTCTGATGGAGTCAAGTAAAGAGACGCCACCCCTCTCGCGCCTAGCTTGCTGTTTCAGGGTCAATGAATGGAATAGCCCCCAACACACCAAACTCCTCTTACCAGATTGGCCAATGACAGCCCCTATATATACCCATTCTTTTCATTTTTATCTGCCCTTTCAACATTTTCAAGAAAAAGTGATTCCCAAGATATCATCTGTCCTGATAACACAGAGATATTCCAGACAAATGCCAACCCCATCAAAATCATCATCAACAAGAACCTATGCCTCTCCATCTTCCATAAATATGGTTACGAGGTTAATGGCATTTTTCAGGGTACTATTAGTTCTGTCTTGCCTAGTTGCTGCATTCTCCTCCTCTTGTAACCAATTGGATAAAGAGTCTCTCTTGGCCTTCTCTAGCAACATATCCACGCTTTCCTCTCACCCTCCACTTAATTGGTCCACTTCTGTTGATTGCTGCTCCTGGGAAGGCATTCTCTGCGATGAGGGAAATACAGATAATGGGCATCGGCGAGTTATTGGTCTGTTACTTCCATCCAGAGGTCTCGCAGGTTCTATATCCCCATCTCTCATGAAACTCACTTGTCTCTCTAGGCTCAATCTATCCCACAATCGACTTTCTGGTAATCTTCCAACCCAATTTTTTTCACTCCTTAATCATTTGCAGATTCTTGATTTAAGCCACAATTATCTCTCAGATGAATTGCCGACCTTTGATATTAATAATACCAATACCAGTAGCACTATTATCCAAGAGCTAGATTTGTCTAGCAATCTATTTCAAGGAACACTCCCATCCTCTTTCCTTAAGTTCCTCAAAGCTGCAGCAGCAGCACGGACTTTGGCATATTTCAATGTTAGTGAAAACGGCTTCATAGGTCCAATTCCCATTTCTCAACTTTGCATTAATAAGACCAATTCGTCTATCAGATTCCTGGATCTTTCCTCAAACCATTTTAACGGCTCAATTCAACCAGGATTGGGTGCATGTTCCAAGCTTGAGATTTTCCGAGCAGGTTTCAATTCTCTTTCTGGGCCTCTTCCTGGTGATCTTTTCGATGCTATTTCCCTTAGAGAGATCTCTTTACCCCTAAATCAACTCTCTGGAAATATTGATGATGGCATTTCTACCCTTACCAACCTCACAGTCCTGGAGCTCTACTCCAATGATTTCAGAGGATCCATACCACAAGGTATTGGTAAGTTATCCAAGCTGGAAAAGCTACTCCTTCATATAAATAATTTGACAGGTACTTTACCCCCATCTCTAGTGAACTGTGTCAATCTTGTCGTGTTAAATTTAAGGGTCAACCTCTTGGCGGGGAATCTTGGAGAATTTAATTTCTCTGGATTCCAACGGCTTACTAAACTTGATCTTGGCAACAATAATTTTACGGGCAATTTACCAAAAACCCTTTATGCATGCAAGTCACTGGCTGCAGTAAGGCTCACATCAAATCAGCTTGAGGGACAGATCACCCCAGATATACTTGGACTTAAGTCTTTGTCTTTCCTAGCATTATCTGCCAACTCCCTAAGAAATTTCACAGGAGCTATGAGAATACTCGCAGGCCTCAAGGACCTTAGTAGCCTTGTCCTCTCAAAGAATTTTTATAATGAAACCATCCCGTATGATGAGAACTTGGTTGGCCGAGATGGATATCAAAAACTCCAAGTGCTAGCCTTGGGTGGTTGTAATTTCACAGGTCAAATACCGGGCTGGCTTGCAAGGCTTAGGACGCTCGAGGTCATTGATATGTCCTATAATCTCATCTCTGGTTCAATTCCTCCTTGGTTGGGTAAACTTCCACAGCTATTCTACCTCGACTTGTCTCATAACCAACTTACAGGAGTATTTCCCACGGAACTCACAGGATTCCCAGCATTAACATCACAACAGGCAAATGATAGAATAGTAAGGTCTTACCTGGAGTTACCTGTCTTCATTGTGCCGAACAATGCTTCTCAGCAGCAGTATAATCAGCTTTCAAATCTACCACCAGCAATATACATGAGAAACAATAGTCTCCTAGGCAATATTCCTCAGGAGATTGGCCTATTGAAAGTCCTGCATCAGCTGGATCTGGGTAATAACAACTTCTCTGGAAGTATTCCAGTTCAAATTTCTAACTTGACTAATTTAGAGAAGTTAGACCTCTCAGGAAACCGACTATCTGGTGAAATTCCTGCTTCACTCAAAAGCCTGCATTTCTTGTCATTTTTTACAGTGGCAAACAATGATCTTCAAGGAGAGATACCAACAGGTGGCCAATTTCATACTTTTCCTCCTTCCAGCTTTGCAGGAAACCCACAATTGTGTGGTTCAGCTATACAACGCTCTTGTTATAGTCCATCAGGTAATAGAACAACTTTGAACCAAAAGACAAAATGGAACCAAAGTAAAATAATTGGAACTGTCATTGCACTTAGCTTTGCTGCCGTTTGTATCATCATTGTTTTTGCAATCTGGATACTTTTCAAGAGGAGAATCGCTCCAAGAGGAGATCCTGATGAGACTGAACAAGAATCAACTTTTGTAACCTATAACAATGGTTTTCATCCTGAAGTAGATAAGAAGGCTAGCCCAGTGATATTGTTCCCCAATAAAACAAGTGAAATCAAGGATCTTACTATATCTGAGATCTTGAAAGCCACTAAAAATTTCAGTCTAGCAAACATTATAGGATCTGAGGATTGTGGTTTAGTTTATAGAGCGACCTTACCGGATGGAAATAAACTAGCCATTAAGAAGCTTACAGGAGAATCACGGCTTACGAAAAGGGAATTTAGAGCAGAGGTAGAGGCTTTGTCAATAGCCCAACACGAGAATCTGGTAGCTGTGCAAGGTTATTGTGTGCATGATGGCTTTCGACTTCTCATATATAGTTTCATGGAAAATGGGAGCCTAGATTATTGGTTGCATGAGAAGCCTGATGGTGCAACTCAACTTGATTGGCCAACTCGATTGAAGATAGCACAGGGTGTGAGTTGCGGGTTGGCTTACATGCATCACACATGTGTACCACACATTGTGCATCGCAATATAAAACCAAGCAATATCCTCCTTGACGAAAATTTTGACGCACTCGTTGCTAATTTTGGGTTATCCCGATTGATTCTTCCTTCTCGCACCCATGTTACAACTGAAGTTGTAGGTACATTAGGTTATATTCCGCCTGAGTATGGACAAGCATCAGAGGCCACGCTTCGCGGAGATGTGTACAGTTTTGGCGTTCTCTTGCTTGAGTTGCTCAGTGGGAGGAGGCCTCTTGACATGTGCAAGACAAATATGTCAATGGAACTGGTTCTTTGGATGCAACAAATGATGAGTGAAGGAAAAGAAGATCAAGTCTTTGACCCACTTCTTACAGGAAAGGGCTTTGAAGATGAAATGTTGCAGGTACTTCATGTGGCTTGCATGTGCGTCAGCCACAATCCTTTCAAGAGACCAAACATCAGAGAAGTTGTTGATTGGCTGAAGAATGTAGGATCAGCCAAACAACACCACAATGAAGATTAGAGAAATGTCTTTTCTTCAATACATTTTGACAACACATGCATGCTTATGAAAAAACCTTTTTTCCAGATTTATAAGTACATATTCTCATTTTCAACCATGTAACTGATGAGTGAAGGCTCCCATGCGCATCAAGTGAAAAAAATATAAGGTAAATTTCAAGAAGGACAGAGTATCATAGCAAGGCAGCAAGAACCATCCCCACCCTCGCAAGAACCCCAAAGGATAAACAGAAGATAAAATTTTCGTAGTCAACATAGAAGCAACGATCACGAAACCTGGCTTCCTTCAGAATCGCCCTCATTGCCGTTGAAGACGTCGAAGGGATTGATTGAAGAACGCGAGGCGAATGGCCGAATATGCCAAAAAGAAATATTAAAAAAAAAAAAAGAACGTGAGCCAAAATGTGGGGAGCCGATTATCACTTTGGATCCGTTGGCTATGCAGATTGCAGCCCATTTGTTCTGATGGGCTTTTGGGCTGTGCTTGATGGGCTTCTGGTAAACAAGCTTCATAGAATGAATCTTTCTGCATTCACGTTCTTTAAGGGTCTTTGCTTCTTAATACTCTTAATGTACTTTGGGGGAAAAAATCAAGGGAGAATTACAATCAAATCGTATATAAAAGAAATAACTACTAAAAAGTCTAATAACAGCATGAACAGCTTGTAATAACAAATTCTAAAATGGAGAATAACAACTTTTGGGACTTATTTTATAATTTTTTCTTGTATGGGACCTCATTATAATTATCCCAAAAATCAAATTAATTGAATTCTGTATCTATTACTTTTTTTTTCTGGCCCAAAATTTCGCATCTATTACTTATCATGCTACTAACATTTTCTATTAACACAATTAACTTATCTATCTCAGCTGCAAAAGTTAAAGGGTAGACTTTTTTATAATTAGAGTTGTTTCATATACGAGTCTATTTTATGTCGATTTGATTAGAAATAAGTACGATAAGCATGAAGTTTTAACTGTATAATTTTTTTATCTTTTAAATATGTAAAATAAGTATTAAAACTTCAAAGAAACAAGATTTTTGGTGATGTACACAGGTTTTTCTTTTCTGCCGATATTAGATTATGTTAAAATCAAAATAAACAGTACAAAACTGCAGGTAAGGGAATCTGGGTAAGATACAATACGCATACTACCAACCGTCTCTACAAATATTATTTATATCAGGAAAGCTCTTCTTTCTTTTTTTTCCTTCTAATAATACGTGAATAATCAATCACCTGATGTTATTAAATGTGAGAGAGTTATTTTTTTAAAAAAAATTAATAAAAATAGTTTTGTCCTGTTATTATTGATGATACTCATCTTACCTACAGGTTTTGTCTTGTATTGATTTTCTTAAATTTGTAGAACAGGTAATTCAGTTATTAATTAATTTGTTCAGTAGTATCTTGACAAGGGCAGGTACCTATTTAATCGAGAATCTCGTCCCACATTTCCATTATAGTAGTACTATCCCCTGTTCTTAATATTATGTCTCATTTGAATTTTATTTTGATCATAAACATAAGATCTCGATTCATTTTGTTTCTTATATTTATCTATTTTTTCTAAAATAGTTTTTTTCTGATAATCGTAGTTCTAGTTAATAAATTTAATTAGCAAGAATATTTTAATAAAGACAACACCTATTTATGACAAATAATTAACTTAATTTATTTTTAATCTACTTAAATTAGTTAACTAGTTTTTATATTTAGGAAGGGTAATATATTTTTTTTTAAGTACGATTATGGTAGTTTATTATGTTTAAGGTGAAAAAATTCACATTTTTGCCCCAGTTGAGATGGATTGCCTAGAATCTCCACCACGAAGCCCATATCAATGGCTGTAAAAACATTCTCAACGTGGCCCATTAATTTCTCCTTTTCGTAAACAAATCAATTAAAACAGGGATCTATACATGAAATTTAAGGCAAGTCGCATTTTTAAATAGTGTGCATTTTTTCCCGCCAATAATAGTGTTATATTTTATCTATAAAAAAATATTTAGATTAAACTATATATCGCCAATTTAAGCATACGTGAGTAGTAGAGATCTCATTTCTTATAAACGTTGGTTATGGTTTAACTTAACTAGTCTTTCTTGCCTCTAAGGATGGATTTGAATCCTCTCCTCATCCATTTTATCCTCTTATCCTCATCCTGTTCTTACTATTAAATAAAAAAGTAAGTTATTGGAATTCAATATTTTACAAAATTATTATTTTTTCTCTGTTGTTAGGTAGTCTTCAGCTTTTAATAATTTTAATTTATTCTTTGTTATATAATATTTTGATCATAATTTTGTAAGATATTTAATATCAGCCTTTTATTTTTTAATTCAATGATAATTAAAGATGAGATGACAAGGAAAAAAAAGAGAAAAAAAGGATGAAGAGGGAATTCAATTGTTACTCCTTCTCCATAGTTGATAAAGTTTAGAATGCAGACTTGTCATATTTTAATTGTAAAATTATACTCCTCCGATCCTTAATATAAGATCGATTTAACTAATTTGATTAGATTAAAGAAGTTAGGTAAGTTAGTTAATTATAAGAAATATGACACGTTTTTCCTAAAATACCATAATTATCTTTCTTATACCCTTTCTTCCTCTTCTACTTGATTATGGTTGAGGGAGTATCCATAGGGATAATTTAGATAAAATTGATAAATATGATAAATGAGTCTTATATTTAAGACCAAAACTAATTCAATAATTAGGTCCTATATTAAGGACCAGAGGAGTATGTTCATTATTTTTAATATTAATTAGGGCTAAGGTGCGCCCAGCACCCTGAACTATTTACTCAGGTGCGTCCAGTGGTCTAAAGTAATTTTGGGTGCATCACAGTATCCTAAACTAATTAAAATGGTGCGTCTATATCCCAGACTAACAGAAATGTTATGTTTAACTGTTACTTTCCTGACTCAGCTTAAAGTTGACCCCAGATATTCTAAATAGTAGACATATGGACATTTAATATGTATTATTCTTACTCAAAATTGAATTTATTTCCTTCCTCTTCTTCTAAATAAATTGAATTTTGAGTAAGAATAATACATATCGGGTGCCCATGTGTTTACCATGTAGAATATCTGGGGTCAACTTTAAGTTAAGCCAGGAAAGTAACAGTTAAACATAACATTTCTGTTAGCCTGGGATATGGACGCACCATTTTAATTAGTTTAGGACACTGGATGCACCTAAAATTACTTTAGGCCACTGGACGGACCTAGATAAATAGTTCGGGGTGTTGGACGCACTTTAACCCTATTAATTAATTTGAAGAGTACATAAATCTAATTTAGTGGGGCAAAAAATCATTATTTCTAAATCCAAAATGTCTTACATATGATTCTATCATTTTTCCCATGAATGAGAAAAATTTGAGTATGTAGCACTATCGAGTCATCTTAATTAGAGATGGGTTTTTTTTTAGGGGGGGGGCTTTGCAACTTTATAGCAACTTTATAATGTTAGATCATTTATCACTCAACTTAGTTGAATCCTTTGTTTTTATAATTTTTTTCCTGTATTGTGCACGATACAACATGAGAGAGACATAATTGAAGAAGAGATTAAATGGAAGGTGAGGGGAAAAGTAAGAAAATAATAAATATTATCGAAAGATCACGAATCGATTTCTTCATAAGTGTAATATTGACTCAGCCCAACTCCCACTTAATCTGTCTCCTCCGTTCCATTGGGCTACTTTCATTTTTTTCACACTCCCGTATCACTGGTGGTGTTTGGATTACCATTTTAGAAGTAACTTTATAATATGAAATAAATATATAAGAGAGATTTTATCTCAATTTACATGAAAATATATTTTTAAATGTTTTTGGGTATTCCAAACACCGTCTACATTACACGATCACGACGCCTCCTCATAGGAGGGTTAGACTAAGTTATTTTTTGCCAACAAGAGTTGATTATATTGGTAAAAAATCAGCTCATAACTCCTAAAATTGTGAGTTTAAATCTTACTATTGATATGACAGCCAAGTCACTTAAACATGTAACAGAGGGAAAAAAAGACTTAGCTATTTTACATGGACTCATACCATTGGTCGTCTTTTATTTATCGTTTAGAAAAATATTCGACCCTGTATTTTTTTTAAAATTTTTATAACGTTGTTGCTCGTATGAAAGGTGTGCCATACACTTAATTCCATGGTTTTTTTAAAGTTAAGATATTTTAAACTTTTATCCTGTGTATATGATAATGGAGATCTAGATAGTGGCCCTCCAAGCAAAGTGTAATCCACGGGTGAGATTTGTTGCAAAATATTCCACCCATTAATGTGTTGGAGTTTTAACTAGTGTCTCTTTAAAAAAGTCTTCCATTACTAATTAATTAAGTCCAGACATAATTAGTAGATGACTGAGCCTCATTAACACAATATTTTGGATTTGAATTAGATTGTGTGTATGGAAAATGTTTTGTTATCAGAAAAGATATGACTTTTTCAGTGGTCTCCAAAATTAATCTCTGACTATTTGGCCGGGAAATACTGCCTGATTTCTGAAAAGAAAAGAGTATTAAATTATTAAACTTGAAACCTTGAGAATTAGGGTTTGGTTTGATTAAAGTTTGAAAATTGATTTTTATTTTATATGAGAACTTATTCACCTTATACAAATTGATTTCTATTTTAGTTTCAATTTGCAAAATTAAAATGAAATAAAAGCCATGTTCATAAATGTCAATCCAAATATTACTTCCGATCCTAATTATAAGATCTCGTTATAATCTACAAATGATATCTTATAATTAAAATTGAAGATGATATTTAAATTTTAAATGAGGTTGAGTCCCCTCTTCTTCTTTTTTATTCAAGATTTTAGAGAGAATGACTGAGTTGACAAACCGTGAAAAATAATAGAATCTTCTTTTGACTTTGGGGCAAGACACGTGGTTATGAGATTTACTTCTTTGCCAGACTTGCGGTTACTTGGGCTATATGGCGAATTTTGTTGTGCCCCGTAGAATAGCTATATCACTTTGCTTTTATTTTTATCAGTAGGGTTAGTTGGCCCTATCTCTTTAAAAATCAAAATATTAATAATATATATTGATATAAATAATCTACTTAATTTTTTTTTGAAGTATTTAATTTCTGTTCATGTATAAATTAAGGCTGAGTTGTAACTTCGTTTTTAAATTTTATGAGATTTCATGCACACAATAAAAATAAAAACACATAACTAAAAAGTTTTAAAAACTATCACAAGAGATGACGAATTTAAAATTTAGCATTGCCATGCGTGGAATAAACGAAAAGTATTCCCTTTTATTTTATGGCTATAACCTATATGGCTAAATTACCTATAGATTTTTTTGAAAAATAAATAATTTGCAAATTGA